CCGAGTAGCTGGGCCTAAAGGTGTGCATTGCACCACCATGCCCAGCTAATTTTTGTATTTTTAATAGAGATGGAGTTTCCACCATGTTGGCCAGGCTGGTCTCGAACTCCTGGCCTCAGGTGATCTGTCCGCCTCAGCCTCCCAAAGTGCTGGGATTACAGGTGTGAGCCACCACGCCAAGCCAGAACCTCATTTTTTTTTTTTTTTTTTTTTGGGGACAGAGTTTCACTCATGTTACCCAGGCTGGAGTGCAATGGCGCGATCTCGGCTCACCGCAACCTCCGCCTCCTGGGTTCAGGCAATTCTCCTGCCTCAGCCTCCTGAGTAGCTGGGATTACAGGTGTGAGCCACCACGCCCGGCCCCAGAACCTCACTTTGGTATAGAGATCCTGCAGAACCTCAGAGCTGGGAAAATTCCATTTCCCATTGAGCGCCAATTTCCCCTTGCCACAGAGCACCACGGCAGGTATTTGGGCACACAGACTCCCGATTTACACATGTATAGTTATTTACAAGGGATGTGCTGGGTGGACACATGTTGGAGCTCCAACAACGGTAACCCAATGTATGGCACCTTGGCAGGCTGAATACTTTGAACTGATGGAGTTTGGATGACCTAAGCAGCCTCAGAAGCAAGTTCTCCCTGACCTCCTCCAGCCTTTCTGCACCCCTTGTGCCCCTCTTTCTCCCCTGAGGTGAGTCATAGAAAACAGAAGTCTCCCTCCCCAAAGTAGGTCATAGAAACTCTTCCCCAAAGCCACCCATGAAACTTACAAATGTCACTCAAACCTTCCCCTAACCTTCTGCGCAGGAGCTGGCCGTAAAGAAATTCTCTGACCAACCTTGTCTGAGAGTAAGTCCTAAGACCCTCATTCCAGAGGGGTAGTGCCCATACCTAGAAGGAAGGAATGCTGCACAGAGAGGCCAAGGAGAATCGGGACAGACAGGCCCTAATGGGCCCCCCCCACCACCTCATTCCATTCCCAGTCCATCAGACCTTTCTGTCCAATTGCATTTCTGCACTGCTGTCCACTCTTCATTGAGATTAAGCATAAAAATGGGCAGTTGTCCCTGAGCCTTTCAGTATTCATTTCTGAAGACTCACACGTCACTTTAAACTTCGATGAAATAAAATTGTTAGACTTTCCTTTTGTTTAGTCTGTCTTTTGTTACAGGAGTGTCAACCGTGACCCTTATGACTGTCAAGCAAAAGTCTTGCACTTTTTCTTCCCTACACATGTATATCACTGTACACAATTTGTATACACTATTTTGTATGCAATATAGATTTTTTAAAAGACTGGTCTCACTCTTATCGATCAGGCCTGAATGCAGTGGCATGATCATAGCTCACTACAGCCTTGACTTCCTAGACTCAGGTAATGCTCCCATCAGCCTCCCAAGTAGCTAGGACCACAGACACATGCCACTGAGCCTGGCTCATTTTGCATTTTCAGTAGCAATGGGGGTTGCCATGTTGCCTAGGCTTGTCTCCAATGCCGGGGCCCAAGTGATCCACCTGCCTAGGCCTCCCAGTGTTGGGATTATAGGCCTGAGCCACTGTACCCAGCCAAAATAGAATTTTTAAAGGAAGAGGAAAACTGTGGAAAGGATTTCTAATTTTTGCTTTCTGTATTCCAATGAATTATCTTGCCCCACCCCCAGGCGTGTGTGTACCCAGGCTGGGCCTCAGTTCCCTGACTGGGTGAGTCCACGCTCTCCCTGGAACAGGAGCTTGTTTGGTCTTTTCTAAGAACTTCGTTGGATACAGACCAGTCCCTCTCCATCATTTTCCACTCTGTTTCCCGCTAGGCCAGCCAATACCGTCTGTCTGGGTGGAAATCCGTCTCTGCCCGGCCTTTCTTGGAGATGGAGGAAAACTGATCAGCATTCTTCCTCCGCAAACTTGGTAGCACTCGACTTGGTTTGGAAGATTGCGGAAGCGAGCCTTTGCTGTGTTTATGAGACCCCCGGGGTTGTTGGGAAGATCAAGTGATAAAGAGGATAAAGAATTTTGTGATACACAAAGGGCTCCAGAAATGTCAAGTGATGTTATTAGCAGTGATTTGCATTCATGAAGGGAGGAATGGAGGGAAATTAAAAGGGACACTTTGGACACGCGTAAGGAAACTGCTGTCGGTCTAGCTCATTCCCCAGGCCGGGGAGCCTTCCTGGGAGGACCCGTTGTCCTACACAGCTGCGCACAGCCCCTCTCCATTTCCACTTCCCTTCAGGTGGGAAGGGAACTCAGGGCGGGCGAAGGCGGTGAATTTGCACCTCCAGGAAGCGGCCGAGCAGGAAAGCAGCCAGCAGGGGGCGGCATTGCGCAGGACAGGAGCAGGCAAAGGCCAATTGCTCTTAAAATCCACGTGCGTGAGGCGGGGAGGGTCCTGTAAGGTGTCTAAATAACGCTTAAAACGGAATCAAATTTGTTTATTTCTTCATTTAGAGAGTTTGCTCCCACCCAGCCGGCTCGCTGAGCGCTGTGGAGCCTTTTGGCTCGGCTCACCTGAGATCAGGCACGTGTTCTGTGCGAGGCGCAGAAGGGACCCCAGGAATCAAACCTGCGCTCGGGGTGTGCAGGGCTCCAAGTGTGACACACGAGGAACTTTGCTATGCAAGGGCCAGCTGCTAGTGCTAGTCTCAGACTTACCTTTCATTCAATTCAAGACAAAGTGAGCGCAACTTGCCCTTTTCTTTTTTGTTAAATGAAAGAGGGATGAATGAATGAGATTTTCTGTTTTGAAGCTTGGGTTCCCCTCCCTCCCCTCTCCTGATCCCAAAGTTGCTTCCCCATTGCAGGAACACAGCTAGGAAATTCGATGCATTCTCCCAGGCAGGAGCCTGAGTGAGACTCAGGAGACCTAGGTGCTGGTCTCAGTCATGAACTGGCTTCTGTGCCTGGGGCTTCTCATTTGTAGAATGGAGGTCGGAGCGAGGATTTTCTCCTCTTCTACAGGGATGTGCTGTGACAGCCAGGGAAGGGCTGGCCATGCAAGCTGGGCTCTGACTGTCACCAAAGAGCCAGACCGGGCCACAGTTCATCCTGGGAGGGGGCAGAGCCCTTTAATGTGGGCACAGGGCATGTTCGCTCGTGAGAGTTCCCTCTCAGTTGTGGTGGGAGCAGCAGTTGAATGAGGCAGTTGGAGAGGAAGACTCCAGGCGGGTGGGACAAGAGAAGCTGAACCTGAGGTCTTCGGGGAGAAGGAGGCCAAGGTGTCGTGGGCAGCAGGTGCAGGCTCCGAGCCCCACGACTGCTGACCTTCCTCCCTTCCTTCTCATCCTCAGCCCAGGTAAAGCTTCACTTCCAGCCCAGGAAAAGCTTCTCCCTGTAGCAATTATTGGCCACCATTTAGTCCCAAGGGCTCTTGTCTCTCATCCCTAGGACAGGCTGTGGAGGTGACACCACTGAACGGGGCTGCCTGAGCAGGAGGCAGCAGGGACGAGGCTCCCAGAGAATAGGGAGCCCCTCTTCCATTTTTGGGATTATAAAAGATTTTCTGTTATCATAAAAGATAAAGTAGAAATGCTAAGACACGATTTCAAAATCTGTGATATACAAAAGCCTACATTGAATAAGTTAAGTCTTTTCCCACACATGCACAAACACATATACAGGGTACATTCACCATTTAATTATGCAATTTGTACCCCCTAGAAAGACCTGGAATTCATGAAGCATTACTGCAGTTCTCATATGAGGTTTTCACCTTTCTTTATTTTTTTTTTCTTTTAAATCTGAGTTTCCTGGGAGTGTAGATTCGAGTCGCCCTGAACCCAGGTTCTCCCATCCTTCTTTGATCATGTCAGAATGTGTCTGTAACTGGATGGATGACCTCGTTTGGAGATACCATCACAGACCACTGCTTTAGGCCCTCTAGGGATGAGGGGACTTGAGCAAAAGCACCTCCACTTCCCTTCCTGCACCCCCAGCTTGGTGCTGTCCCCTGCATGTGCTTTCCTCTGCCGCCTCTCTGCCTTCCCCTCCCTCCCGAGCCCAGTTCCTCATCATTCACAGGGCCTTCTGGTCTGGCTGCTGCAGGTGCCAGGTACCTGGGGACAGACAGGAGAGGTACGGTGCAGGCAGGGCCTGGGATAGCTCCCCAGTGTCTCCTCTGTGCTGGATGCTGGCCAGGCCTTGGAGGAAGGGACTGTGGGAGTTGGGGAGACCATCAGCTATTGATAACTTTGGTGGCTTTAAATTAAGAATGGATTTATTAAGAAAGAAGTAGGGCCATAGTCTCTTACCTGGGACAAGTTTTATGAATAACATGTGCCTGCTTTTGGTTGATGGAGGGACTCCCATGATGAGCACCAAGGAAGACTGAGAGTCCAATTTTCAAACACAAAGTTGTTAATTCTCTAGGCTAGATGGGGACAGAAATGGAAGATAATGGAACAAATTGGGCAGGTGTGGGAAATGTTTCTTCTGGAGATGACTTCTAGACATCTTCCGTTCTCTCTCCTGAGGCAGAGACAAAGATAGAGAAAAGGGCCTCAGGAAACACTATAAGGAAAACACAATGCAATGCAGTATAAACGTTACATGACCCTGAATCCTAGAGTCAGAAAGACAGTAAGGAGTGGTGGGGATTGTGGCAAACTAAAGCATGTATGCCCCGCCCAGGGGTGACCGCTCAAAGTGAGTAGATTGTAATCATGATAGCATACAGAGCTCCTGATTTTTTGACAAAAGCCAGAAGCCAGGGTTATTTTTAAAATTTGGTATCTCCTCATTTTTAAATGTTTTCCACAAGTTGGAAAAAAAAATGTTTAAACTATGCAGGCTGTATAAGATGGACCTGCAAGTTGTGCGTGGTCCGCAGTTTGTGTCCTGTGCTCTGAACAGAGCCCTTCCTGCTTCTGCCTGTCCAGTCTGTTGAGGTTAGGTTAGGAACTCCCTGCCTGCTAGCAGAGGGGTGCACCAGCAACTTTTTGGCATCTCCTGCCAACCTTCAGATGCTCTGTGTGGAAAATACAGTGCCAAGAACAGAGCCACAATGGCTGCAGGGACCCTGGCCCGGTCGGCATCGCCTCCTCCCAGTTCTCATCAGCTGTGCACCCCTCAGACCCCGTCCCATTCGTGCCGGCAAGCAGATTTCTCACCCCAGGCAGCTCTTCACTCCTGGCAGAGGATGGCATGACAGACGGGGATAGAGACGTTAGCCAAAGCAGGCTTCCTGATTAAAAAAAATCTCGTTTTCCCCCCAGGGCTGCCAAATTTAGCAAAGTGCCATTCCAGCTGCAGTGCTTCCAAGCCGCCTCAGATCATCATAACGTCACAGTCCCCGGGGAACACTCAAGGAAATTACCTTCTAGCACCAATTTCCTATGCAGTCTGATCACCCAAACTTAGCCAGGGAGGCCTGGCCTCCAGTGTTTGGCATCTGAGACTCAGGACCCCTTAAGATAAGCTGATGACATCTTCCTGCCAGGATCCCCTCGCATTAGAAAAGAGAGCCAAAAACAGGAGTTAGAGGTAAGGGTTCTCCACTGACAATGAGCTCCACCCTCTCAAAGGGGCTGGGAAAGATTAGCAACTGGGTGGCTGGGAGTGAGTTGTAGCAAATGACAGTGGTTTTCAAATATCAGAGAGCACATGAAGAGGACATCAGTAGAGGCTGCGTGGCTCCTGAGAGCAGACAGGTGTTGCAGCAAAATTGCATTTAGTTCCACAGAAGGAAAAAAAGTCATCCCCCTGAGGGCTATTTGTTTAGAAAATGCTTACCTCTTTATTTTGTAATGATTTCAAGCTTACAGAAAAGTAACAAGAATAATGATCTTGAATAAGAGATCCCAACTACCCTTCCCTGAGATTTGCAGTGACATTTTTGCCACATTCACTTTAACATTAATATCAAAATCAGGAAATTTATCTTTGATAAAATATTACTGCAGAATCTGTAGTCCATATTTAAATGTCTCCAATGTTTCAGTACTGTTCTTTTAAAAATTTCATTTACTTATTTTTGTTTATTTAGAGGAGAAGTGAAAATTTATCAAAAAGGAATAAAAGAAAGTAAAGTACACTTGGAAGAGAGTCAGGTGGGCAACTTGAAAGGTCAAGTGCATAGTTTGACCTTTGACTTGGGCCAATAATGTTCTTTACAGCAAATTTATTTTCTTCCAGCCCAGCATCCAGTCCAGGCTTGTGCATTGCTTCTAGCTGTCACGTTTCTTCTGTGTCCTTTAATCTGGGATGTTTCCTCACTTTTCTGTCTTTTGTGCTGTTGATGTTTTTGAAGAGCACAGGCTACTTGTTCTGTAGAAAGCTCCTTTGGGTTGGTCTGGTATTTTCTCAAGACTAGATGCAGGGTATGCATTTCCTGCAGGCATACTGCATGCTGGCTGTCTTGAGAAGTGACTGGGGTCTGTCACCAAAGAGTGTTGAGGCACGATCTGGAGGGCCAGAGGGAATCTTCGTGAGAGGCTGGTTTGCCATATCTTGGATTCTGTGATTCTCCCCAGATAATTTCAGCTGGGTTTCAGAACTTGCTGTGAGCTCTTCCTTCTTCAGCAGGTAAGCTGCTTTCCTACCTCTGCTTTACTCAGTTTACCAAGGGTAGGGCAGTGGCCCAGCGGCCACTGGGAGGCCACGGGAGGTTCATCAGGGACCGCAGCTTGACTGTCTGCTGTGCCCAGCAGTTGCAGAATGGATGGACGTGCGGTAGGAAGACCACGCCCAAAGGCTAGGCTTGGGTCCAGGCTTCTCTGCTTCTCTTCCTGCATCCAATCCAGACCGGGGCTGGGTTGTGTTCACGCAGGGAGCTAAGGACCCAAGCAAGAATGAGAGGCCAATTTTTAAACTTCTGAGCCCCAGCATCTCGGCAGTGGGCAGCCTCCTTCTGTCCCCTGAAGGAAATGCAGAGAAGCCAGCAGGGGGCTTTTCTGAGTGGAGAGTAGAGAAAACTCTGAAGGGCTTTTTGGTAAAAAGACTGATGGAAGTCTTGTGGAAAAGGATCCAGGAAAGTTTTGAATCTGAAGCCCTTCACAGTCATGCCCAGTTTTGTCTCAATTCTTACCTAAGACTGGTGCATAGAGCATCACTCTGCAGGCACCACACACAAAGCCAGGCTCAGCCAAAAACCTCTGTTTGGGCTTTTCCTGAAACCTTCTAGTCTAACCTCTCCCAAAAGTCCTCCCTACCCTCTTCCTCCTCCCAGACCGTACTGACATCTGACATCTACCCTCTCAGAACTTCTGTAGCACGGGTCTGCGTTACTCAGTAACACTGAGCACAGACAGCCCATTTTCGGGATTTAGATTCTTAAAATTATGACCAGATATTACAGCAACGTGGGAATGTCCCCGAGTAACCTCCAGATCTTGTTTTCCCACCCCTAGAGGTAACCATCATCTTGAATTTGGTATAGAGTGTTCCCATTCATTTTGTAAAAATAAACTTTATTTTTAAAGAATGGTTTCCATTTACAAAAAAATTGCAAAGATGGTACAGAGTTCTCCAGTACAGAGCCCCACACCCAGCTACCCGTGCTATTAACATCTCATGTTAGGATGGTATATGTGTTATAATTAATGCACAATATTGATACATTGTTAACTAATATGTATGCTTTATTAGATTTCCTTCATTTTTATCTAGCATCCTTTTTCTGTTCCAAGAATCTCATCTGAGATGCTTCTTGACAGGTAGCTCTCAGGTCTCCTTAGGCACCTCTTGGCTGTGTCACTGTCTCAGGCGCTCCTAGTCTTTGATGACCTTGACAGTTTCGAGGAGTATCCGCCAGGTTTTTTGTAGACTGTCCCTGAACTGGGATTCGTCTGATGTTTTTCTCATCATTAGACCGGGGTTATGGGGTTTTGGGAGGAGGATCTCAGAGGTAAAGTGCCCTTCTTGTCACATCCTATGAAGGGTACACGTTATCAACAGGACTTATCACTGCTGATGTTGACCTTGATTACCTGGCTGAGGCAATGTGTGCCAGGCTTCTCTACTGTAGAGTTGCTGTTTTGTTTTTTTTTCCTTTTCCATACGGTACCGTACTCTTGGAAGCATCGCATTCTAGTTGATTAAGTTGTTTCTCACAGGGATATGGGTTGACAATTCTGATACTGCTATACATGTACACTTAATTGAACAGTTATGTAAACACATGGTGGATGGTGAGAGCCAGGCTTCTCACTTTTAAAATTGAAGCTTACAGATAAGAAGGGGAAGAGGCTGGAATTATGATAATTATGGTAATGGATTCAAGTTTGAGAGCCAGCATGAACTCACTGTTAGCTTAAAATAGATACGGATGGTTACATATAGAACTATTTATAGATATGTGTTTATGCACTAGTTAATATGCATACATATATTTCCTTGCTTTGTCAGCTGAGAGAGCCTGCAAGCAACAACACCCCAATAACAGAATTTACCTAATGCCCAGATCTTTGTTCTAATACGATTCTCTAATAGAAGGAATTTCAAGTACTTGGAGAAATAAAATTTTACTACCAATACAGTCATTAGTAAATAAAATATATTATTATATATTACAAGTACATGAATTGTATATTGTATATTTTGTAAGTTTGTGAACTTACAAATGGTATCAAAGTGTATGTATCTTTCTGCAGTTTTTTCCTGCTCTCAATTTATCATATGAGATATACACATAGTTTGATATGTAGACTTAGTTTATTCATTTTTACTACTGAATAGTAATGTGCCATACTCATTTTATGCAGTTTATTCATCCATTTGCCTATTCATGGATGTTTAAGATATTGTAAACAGACACTGCAAATATTCCTTATAAAGGGCCACAAAATTTTGTATGAGATTCCATCCTCTGTGCATTGTTTCCTTGTTTTTTCCTAGATTGAACTTCAGTGTTGACACCAGTATGAGAGAAGAGAGGCTAGCAGAGGCAGGGGGAAATTTGGAGGAGAATGGAAGACAGCCTGCAAAGTTAGTGGCCGCTCTGTATCTGACTGCTTGAACAGGCAGGATTTCTCCAGGGCTTATATAATTAAGAAGGATAATTGCTGCCTATGTTAGTAAGACGATCTTCAACTTGACCAGATAATACCAAATTGCTTTACAAATTAGTTATACAATTCATATTCCCACCAGGAGGGCTTAAGAGCTGCAGTGCTCCATACATATGCCAAGACTTGCAATTTTTAGACTTTTAAATAATGCCTGTTTGAAGAATGAGGAATGGCTATTACTGTGATTGTAGTTTTCATTCATATTTTTCTGATACTCAGAGATTTGGTGTATTTTGGTGTTTATTTGGATCATTCGTCAATTGTCTTTTGCTGGTTTCTCTAATTGTTTGTTCTTCTGTTATTAATATATTGAGAATTCTTTTTTTTTTTTTTTTTAGGAGTTTTGCTCTTGTTACCCAGGCTGGAGTGCAATGGCGCGATCTCGGCTCACCGCAACCTCCGCCTCCTGGGTTCAGGCAATTCTCCTGCCTCAGCCTCCCGAGTAGCTGGGATTACAGGCACGCGCCACCAGGCCCAGCTGATTTTTTGTATTTTTAGTAGAGACGGGGTTTCACCGTGTTGACCAGGATGGTCTTGATCTCTTGACTTCGTGATCCACCTGCCTCGGCCTCCCAAAGTGCTAGGATTACAGGCGTGAGCCACCGCGCCTGGCTGAGAATTCTGAATAAATTCTGCATACTAGTTCTTTACAGTTAAGTGGGTCACATCTGTACCAGTGTGTTGTTTCTCTTACAAATTATGTCTTCTGATTAATGGACATCTGTAATTTCAATGTACTAGAATTTATCAAGATTTTGGTTTAAGACATTTTTTAAAAATTTGCTTTAAAAAATTCTTCCCTATCCTAAGATCATAAATATATAAATATCTGTATGTACTTTCTACTGTTAACATGGTATTCCTTTTTCACCTTGTTACTTTTAGCTTATTCGTGTCTTTATATTTGAAATACACATCTGGTACCCAGCAGATGTTGTTTTTATATTCAGTCTGACAATCTTTGTTTTTTAATTGAAATCTTTAGTTCATTTATATTTAATGTAATTATTGATATGGTGGGTTTAAGTCTATTGACTTGCTATTAATATTTGTCTTCTATTTATTCCTTTTGTTTTTTATTCTTCAGTTCCTTTTTGCCTATCTGTTTTGGGGGGTGGGGGTTAAGCTACTATTAATGTTTTATTTTATTTCCTTGACTGACTTCTTAGCTTTAATCCTTTTTAAAAAGTGGTTTTCTAGGGCTAACACAATGTTACAATTTATACTTTGTTATTTGTGTATCATTCCATACTTTATTTGAAAATAATTATATTTTGCTGTGTGTTACTATGTGCTTATTTTTTACTTTCTGTAGGGGAGGAGCTCATCTTAGATGTCTCCCATACTTATTATTATTCATTCATTCAATAAATACTTATTAAACATCTACTATGTACCAGGGACTGTGCTAGGTATTGGAAATACAGCTTTGAACAAGACAAACATGAAGCCAACAGTTTGTTTGGGGAAATGAAAAAGTATGTGGAAAGTTTTCCTAGAAAAGGAAATGTGAGCAGAAATTGGTCAAGTGAAGAAAGGGATACTAGATGGTTCCAGGTTGTGGCAGCAGTAAATACAAAAACTAAAAAGCAGGAGGAATAAACAGCTTGTCCAGGGAGTAGTAAGATATTCCACATGGAATATCTTATAGGGCCTCGTTCAAGAACTTGGAGGCAGATAGTTACTTGAGAAGTGATTATTTATAAACAGCTGATTTGAGAAGTGCCCATGTGGCCTCAGTGTCACTGCTATGAGCAGAGGGGCCTGATTCTACTAGGCAACATAGCAAATTCCCGAAAATTTAACATTTTGGCTCTCACCAGCTGGCCCCAGCACATCACTGCTCAAAAGGCTAATGAACATAATGAATGCAATTCACAGCTTCTGAGTGCCACTGTGGTTGTTACTGTAGATACAAGTTCAAGCCAGAGAGAGTTGGGGCAACGACCCCAATGTGGGGAACACTGAGTGTCTTGTTTGTCTGCAGGTTGGCACCCAACCCAGTAGATAATGTGGGGCTGCTCTCCTTCACCACATTTCCCTGGTTCACACTGGTGGTGAAGAAAAGCTACTGGCAAAAGCGGATTGTGGACACTCTGCCCCTGTTGTCAACATATGACTCATCCGACCACAATGTCCAAAGGTACCAGGATTTGCTTGGGTCACTGTATTAGTACAGTTTCATACTGCTATGAAGAAATACCCGAGACTGGGTAATTTATAAAGAAAAAGAGGTTTAATGGAGTCACAGTTCCATGTGACTGGGGAGGCCTCATAATCATGGTGGAAGGCGAAGGAGGAATAAAGGCACATCTTACATGGTGGCAGGCAAGAGAGCATGTGCAGGGGAACTGCCCTTTATAAAACCATCAGATGTCATGAGGCTTACTACCACAAGAACAGCACAGGAAAACCTGCCCCCATGATTCAATTACCTCCCATGGGGTCCCTCCCATGACAGGGGGGATTATGGGAGCTATAATTCAAGATGAGATTTGGGTGGGGAGACAGCCAAACCCTATCAGTTACCTCAGGAGAGAAGCCCACACTAGGGAAGTGTCCTGTATCTTTTGTGTGCTCTTTTGTGTGCTCCCTAGTTGTGTGCTCCACAATTTTCCCAATGTGGAAAATGACACCCATGGCTGCTGGTAACTCTTCTCTGAGACTTGGACTGGACTGCATGAACTTCTTGGCTCGGGTTATGGGGAGATGGGAATTAGCTGGCATTAGCGAGGAGAGGGGATTCATTGGAGGGCTATGGCCTAATAAGGCTCAGGACCCTTCTGGCTGGGCTGCAGCTGGTTTGCAGGGGTACTGCATCAGGACAGAGGTGACTGGAATCTCACTTTGCTCTGTGCTGGTCAGACTCCACCTGACGAGCATGCAGCTTTAGGCATCAGGTTTTGTTTTACTTTAAAAAATCATTATTGGACTTTTATATTACAAAATATATTTAAGGCTGGGCGCGGTGGCTCAAGCCTGTAATCCCAGCACTTTGGGAGGCCGAGGCGGGTGGATCACGAGGTCAAGAGATCGAGACCATCCTGGTCAACAAGGTGAAACCTCGCCTCTACTGAAAATACAAAAATTAGCTGGGCACGATGGTGCGTGCCTGTAGTCCCAGCTACTCGGGAGGCTGAGGCAGGAGAATTGCTTGAACCCAGGAGGCGGAGGTTGCGGTGAGCCGAGATCGTGCCATTGCACTCCAGTCTGGGCAGCAACAGCGAAACTCCGTCTCAAAACAAACAAACAAACAAACAAACAAAGAAAAAAAACCAAAATATATTTAGATTGATTCTAATGAAACTGCCAATATTTGACAATTTTAACCTGTAAAAATGTAAATGTCATCTGTCCAGCCTAATTCATATTCATTATAAAAATGTGGAAGCAGCGGAAGTTTAAGCCATAGAAGTATCTCTCCCACACTGCTGCTATACTCCCTGGAGGTCAGCACTGTGAAAATGTCAGCCTGGCTCCGTCCAGAATTTTCCTTCTCTGGTTAAACACACCCTGGGCTGCCATCGTCTTCTTCAGATCAATACCTCTTCTTACTCCTCACTCACAGGTCATGTTTTATATTAATGTAAACAGAAATGAAGCATACTACATAACTGTTGATCAGATTTCTCTTTTCAGTTAAGAGTTTATGAAGGCTTTTCCATGTTAGGACAAAGACATCAAGTTCATTTTTTCCAGCAGCTACATTGAACTCTGTGGTTCTCATTACCTATATAATAGAAAGAATGGAGAAGTCCTGGGAGCGTTAGTCATGCCTCCTAATTGCTTCTAGAATTGTGCTTCTCCTCATCTGTGCCCCGAAGAAATCTCAGCTAGTGGTAAACTCTAAAATCTACCGCCTGAAGAAAGTTGCCGGGGAGCACTGAGGGAAAGGGACTGGAGTGGCGTCTGCGGTATGCCGGCTCTCTTCCATCCTCTCTGGCCGGTATTCTCCATCTGTTCTTAATGTTTCCTCCCATTTACCCAGTATCCACTTACATCCTTGTCTCTCCCATGTTGCGTTATGCTCCTAGGGGACCCCTCCACTTCAAAGGCTTAAACACCAAACACACGCTGACTCCCGCAGTAGCATGTCCATGTCTGTCTCCAGGCCACTCCCCCTTTCCAGACTCTGAAACTGCGTACCCAGCATCCGATGGGACAACTGCACTTAGGTGCCTCATGAGCATCTCCTGTCTAAAGCTGGCCCTATTCTTGATCCAGGGCCCCAACCTGACACTATTCCTCTCCTCTTCTGCTTTTCCTCATCTCCGTCTCTATAAACTCTGTTCACACAGTTGGCCAAGCCAGAAAACTGGGGTCCATCCTTGAACCTCCTCCACTTTTCCTGCCACATCTCATTCATCAGTAAGCCCTGTTGTCGCTCTCCATCCACTTTTCTTTAATTCCACTGCCACCTCTCACCTGGAGGCTGACAATCTCCTGCTGTGGTCTCACGCCGTCATCCATCACTTTCATAGCAGCCAATTGATCTTTTAGATGTGCAAAATGATCTTGTCACATTGGTTTAAAAATCTGTAATGGCTTCCTTTGCCCTTGGAATGAAGGAAGGCCTTTGAGGTTTTCCCTAGGTCCCATGAAGTTCCCCAAGGTCCCAAGAGTTTCTGCCTTACTTCCCACTGTCCCGACAGCCCCTCCCCTTTGCCCACCACACTCCTGTCTCTCTGGCCTTCTTCCAGATCTTTGAAATGAACAATGTCCTCGCTGCGCTGAGAAGATTTTTCTCTTGACCTCTCTGTTGCCTCTTTCTTCTTATAAGAGCTGATACTGTGGCAGAGATGGGTGATAGGCAGAGGAAAAGAAGGGCTGGCAAGGACCCAGATGCCACACTCATACCAGCTTGTGTCTAGGCATTACCCTCTGCCCTTCCCAAGTCAGGAAAAGCAGAAAGCAGAGCTAGTGCTGGAAGGCACCACTGCCAGGAAGGAGGGCTGTGCTGAGCATCTTTGCAAGACCATGCCCAACAGAGTAGCTTCAAACAGCACATGGAGGTGCCATTCCCTTTTATGCTTCCTGTTTTTTCATCACAGATTTCTAGTCCTTTGGGTTGAAAGGATAGGTACTGAGAAGGCCTCTTTGGGCCATATGGTCTGGAAATTCCAGAGGACTCGCTTGTTGATGAACATCGTGGCCAATATCACGTGCATCATCACAGAAACCATAGGGCCAGTGAGAGGGGTGGCCCTTCTTCTGCTTTGCCTGCTAGGTCTCCAGCCTGGCACAGAATGTCATTAGTTACTTTCTCTACCAGCTGGTGGGTTTAGTGCATTGTGATTATCTTTGCGCTCCTTGGGGGCGAATTTTCATAAAGCTAATCCTTGTCAAGCACAGCAGCAGCCACCAAAATTAATTAAAAAGTTTGCCTCTTAAAGTCAGCTTGCTGCCATGATCTGAGGCCTTCTATGCCAGCCTCAGCCCTCAGTGGCCCTCTCCTCTCCCCATCGCACTATTTTACAGCCAGTTTTCATTCACAAAACCCTCCAGCTGACTGAGAGAACATCTGAAAAAGTCTGGGTTGTCAGTGGCCTGTGTATAGCCCTTGTTGCCACTGAGTTTACCAAAGGCTTCTTTCAGCTTTTGCCTAGGCCATCAACTACCGCACGGCTGTCTGGTTGGAGGTGGTGCTCTCCACCCCGGTTTTCGAAAACCTGGTGTCCCTCAAGACATTGACACACATCTCTGTTGGTGAGGTAAGCTGGCCTAGAAAAGGAGTCCTGAGTGGTTTGAGCGCGTGTGAGATCTGGGTCCTGGACAGAGCACCTGCCTTCCCTTTGTTTGACTATGACCTGTCCGTCGTGTCCCAACTCCTGGCTAAGTGAGGTGCTGGAGACACAAAGCACCAGAGGAGTTCAGAGAGAGGAGGGCTCCGTTCAGGCTGGAGAATTTGGAGAGGCTTCCTAGTTCCAGCTGGAACAGGGCTCAGGGGGACTTCATCCAATTGCTTCGATGGTCAATGGGAACAGTGGAGCAGTACTGAGCACACTATAGGCATTTAATAAAATGGATGGACTGATGGCTCCAATAATCCCAACTGTTAGCGTAGGGGATGCCAAAGCCACAATGAAGACCGTGTCTGTTGGACTTCGGAGTTGACGTTTTCTTAAGCTCTTAATCCTTGGCAATAAAATTCTTACCGCTTATCAAACACACACACACCCTCCCTAATCAAGGGAACCCCAGGTGGTGTGGGGTAAGATAAAAGACTTGCTTCTTTCTTACAGTTGCTCTTTTAGCAAGCTTAAAGCATTTAATTATGATTAGATTCAGTTGCATATAGCAAACCCAAAATAAAGTGGATTAAACAAAAGGAATGAATTTCACCCTATGTAAAAGGAATCTAGAAGGGAACAATGCAGGGTTGGCACAGGAGATTCCGGATCATTCTGCCTTTCTTCATCGCTGTCTTTGTACAGGGCATTCATAATGGTTCAAAAGGACATGCCAGAGACCCAGCCATCCCAGCCACACTTCAGACAGGTGGTAGGAGGAAGAACAGAAGAAGGGGTGCTTTTCAGGTGGAGTTGGCTGCCTTTAAGAATTCATCCGTGTAGCAGGATTGGCGCGGGACAAACCTCTCGAACACGAACGGAGAAAGGAAGTGGCTTTTTATTTGGCCGGGAGCTGCTGGAGGCTAATGCCTTGACCACTGAGTTCCCAGAGAAGCGACTTCTTTCGCTTCTTAGGGGCCGACAACTCTAAAGCGGGAGCAGGGGTGAAACTCCATTATGCTACTAGATGGTAACATTATGCTTCAAGTCTTTCTGCATTGAGATTCTCAGCCTTAAAAGACCGGCCTCTCCAAAATCGTACCAGAACCCATAAAACTCATCATATTGGTCCTCAGTGACCCCTTCCTGCCTCACAGCCTAGAACCCCTCAGCCAGGCTGAAAGTCTTCAGTTGAAGAAATGTTTGACTGACTCTTCCAAACCTGAACCCATGCACTTTTCTTTCCAGGTGCTCGATATACTGTCAAGCAATAGCTATTCCTTATTTGAAGCTGCCTTGTTTTGTCTCTTGCCAGCCACCATCCTGATGCTAATGGCCTTTTGTGCAGGATGCCTTTTTCATTCCAGGGCCCACAGCTCTCACAGCAATAACCATGTATGTCCTATGCATAGTTATTCAGGTAACGACAGGCTTTTGCACTTCTAGCTATTTTATATTTGCATTTCACACACTTTCACTGAATTGGGTAGAAGGCTGCGTTTCTGGCGCATGGACCTGAAGCTTGTGCCCCATTTTGTACTCACAGATTTACTTCCTTTGGAACAGAGTAGTTTTGTTTTTGCTTTTGTTTGGTGACAGAGCTGTCACCCAGGCTGGAGTGCAGTAGTGCAATCATAGCTCATTGCAACCTCAATGTCCTGGTCTCAAGCAATCTTCCTGCCTCAGTCCTCCCAACTAGCTGGGACTACGGATGCATGTCACTGTACCTGGCTAATTAAAAAAAAAATATTGTAGAGATTGGGTCTCACTTTGTTGCCCAGGCTGGTCTTGAACTCCTGGGCTCAACCCATCCTCCTGCCTCAGCCTCCTGAGTAGCTGGGATTACAGGTACAAAACACTGCACCTAGCCACAGTGAAGTTTTTTACAAAACTTGAATTTGAATGCTCCAGGAAGGGGAATGCTTCTTCAATTTGTCAAAGCCCGCAGCACTCCCCTTAGTCCTGCAATTCATGCCTTTATATGACCTGCCTGACCCCACTCAGACAGCATCAGCAGCCACAACTCAAGGGAGGGAAAGACTTGGCTGAGAATCTCAAGCCAACTTCCTTTAGAACTTTTCCTGGCACTTACACTCCCATCTCTGGATTTTTAGGCCAGGTGCAACTCAGCAGTTCTCTCTGAAAACAGTGTTTGTACCTTGATTTCAGATGTTTATGGCCAAGCTCAATTCAGCTTTCCGAAGGTCAGCAATTTTGGTGGCAGACAAGCGAGTTCAGACAATGAATGAGTTTCTGATCAGCATCAAGCAATCAAAATGTATGCCTGGGAGAAATCTTTTACCAACACTATCCAAGGTAGGACAGAAATAGCTGCTTTAAAAACCACTTATCTTGTAGAATATGCTCTTCTAAGGGGTTCTTAAGGTTCCCAGGGCCAGGTGTTCCAGAAGGAGGCTGAGGGGACACTCTGAGCTGCTCTGCAGGTCAAAGGATTTTTCGAAGGATTATGGAGATTTAATAATAGAGCCAGGCATCTGTTCTGGTGAACCCAAGGGTGAGTGACATATGGTTTCTCTTTCCTGGGACATGTGGATCCTGGTCCTGGCGAGTTACCTTTAATAAAAATAATCCACTAAAACAGTGAGCAGGTAAAAAGCTGTCTCCAGCTATTTCCTTGACTTAGAAGACTTGTATACACACATGCTCTCACACACCCAGGGTTACACAGACCTCTTCACCTGCAGCAACGTCCTTGTGTTTGAATGGTCCACTGACTCAACATTCCTTGGACAGATATGAGAAGATGCACATGTAGTTTTGTTTTTTAAAGTTGATATAGAATCTATTTTGATCAAATATAAATGCAAATTTAATTGCAGGGACATTAACATAATTGCTGACATAGACTCAGGTGGTTCACCAGTTAATGATCTGGACCACCGTCACAATTGATTCTCTAGATGTACAATTACGTTTTAGCACCAGCATGGAATTGGGCCCAAGCTGTGTATCTGTACTCTAGGGAGTGGCTGTAGAGAATCTGCTTCTGAGCTGGCCAAAGGAAGTGCCCCAGGTTAGGACCCTAGCAGCACTAGTAGACCCAAAAACACATCCTCACACTCCTGAGTTCACTTCAGTGCAATTTAATTTGATTTGATTAAAGTTGATTCCATTTGATTTAATTCAACTTAACTCAATTTAACTCGTCAATTTAGTTCAATAAATATATATCAAGTTCCTACTGTGTGCAAGGCCATGGGAGCTACACAGATGAAATGGAAAAGGGTTTCTGCTTTTACGAATAAGGGAGGATGAGATAACTTAGCTCAAAAATAGCCACGAGTTTGTTGGCTCTACCTTCATAGTATATCCGGAAGCCATCTGCTTCTCTCCATTCCACTCCCACCCAGTCCAAGCCAATATCCTCTCCCTCCTGGACTACGGCAAGGCCTCTAGGCACTCCCCCTGCCTTCCCCCTCTCTCCTGAAATCCACTGTGCACTCAACAGCCAGAGTGACCTTTAAAAAATGTCAATCAGATCCTCTTCCTCCTCTGCTGGAAAATAGTGGCTTCTTATTACACTTGGATGATTCAAAGGTAGGTCTTTGGAAGGGAATCCAAATTCTTCCATATGACCTATTAGGTCCAACACAATCTGGCCCCTGGTGCCCTCTCTGACATCATCACATTTACCCTAAGCTTCAGTAACTCAGCTCTAGTGGTGTCTGCTTTAGTCTGTTTCTAGAGCCACATAGCACGCTCATTCAGGCTTCGGGATCCTTGCACTCGCTGTTCCCTTTGCCTGGACTGCACTCCTGCTGGATGTTTACGGTAGCTTTGTCTCGACTTTAGGTCTCTTCTCAACATCCAGAGAGGACTTTTGGACCGCAGTGCCAAGCAGATCCATGCCCTACCTCTCAATCACTTCATCCTGCTCATGTGTTTCAGATCACCCAACACGATTTGCAGTTATTTAATTGTTTATTTCTTTATTTTCTGTCTCCTCCACTGGAAGAGGGCCAGACCCTTTTCACTCCTCTATTCTCCAGCCACAGGCATATAGTAGACATCAGGTTCGAATATCTTGACTGAGTGAACACATGAATTCATGTTGTTCTGTGGGGGAAGGTAGGGAAAGTGCCACAAGAGAAACAGAGACGCTCTGCAGGGGAGCACACTAGATTGGGGGAGATTGGGAAAAGCTTCCTGGCAGAGGTGGCTTTCAGGAAGGCCAAAGGGACAGAAAGGCTCGGGGTGCACAGAGAACTGGGGAAACCCCCTCAGGGAGGAGCAGACGCCTGGAGGTGGAGATAAGAGGGTGCTCTTAGGGACAAGGGGGTGCTGGATGTTCTTTTGGGGAAGGGTACCTGGATAGCAGAGCTTGGATCCCAGGAGAAGTGGGCTCCAATTCTGTCCCGATCACTGAAAAGGCAAGTTACTAAACCTGCAAGGATAGTTTGCTCTCCTGTCAAAAAGGCATAAAGTAATAGCCTCTCATCACACAGCGGTGAGGATGATCTAATGAGAAAGCGCCTGTGAAGAGTTGAGCAGAGCACCTGGCACTTAGTGATCACTCTGTTAGAACATCTATGGCTATCCCGTGTAGATGTGAAAGGGCTTTTGCAGAGGAGGCTGGAATTGGGGTTGAGGACAAGAAACAGCAGGGAAGGAGGCTTGAATGTAATTTGTGAGCATTGCAGAGAGGTGGACATATTCTGGACTTAGGAAAGGGAGAATGCTCTTGAGTTTTTGTGGCTATTCTTGGGACTCCAGGCAGGTGCCTTCAGGCCAGCATATGTGTTTTCTTTCTCCCCTACAGTACAGTTTTAAAAAATGTTATTTCAATTAGTTCCCAATATTTAAAATTAGGGAGATGTCTTACAAAAATATGGACCTCATGGGAGGATTGCTTGAACCCAAATATTCAAGACCAGCCTGGGTAACATAGGGAGAGCCCATCTCTGCAAAAACATTTTAAAAAAATTATCTGGATGTGGTGGTGTGTGCCTGTGGTCTTAGGTACTCAGGATGCTGAGGTGGGAGGATTGTTTGAGTCCGGGAGTTTGAGGCTGCAGTGAGCTCTGGCCTGGGGGATGAAGCAATACCCTGTCTTAAAAATAAATACATAAATAAAACTCTGGACCTCAGACTTCGAAATTGTTGATGGTCTGGTTGTTACTGGACCAAACTGGGGTCTGCTCATCTGGCACAGTAGGGCCAAATATCCACAGAGGTTTTGTCGCCGGAGAAATGAGGGCATTTATTTGCCGCGAGCCGAGCAAGGACAATCAGGCCGCTCATGCTTAAGACCTGGCCTCCCCAGTGGCTTGCAAGCGAGAGTTTTTAAAGGCAGGGGTACATTACAGAAAAGCAAAATTAGAGGCAAAAGTGTAACTCAGTATGTGGAGGTTATATGTTGGTTTGGCCTAAAAGGGTGGGATATCTTGAAGCAGGCAGCCTATAAATCATGGGTAGATTTAAAGATTTTCTGATATGTACCTGGTTAAGGAAGGGAAGCTTTGTCTAAAGATTTGGAGTTAGCAGAAAAGAGTGTTGGATCCGGTCTGTGGGCGTGATCTTGTTCAGGTTCCTTAGGAAGAAATTTAGAACCGAAACTGCAGTGAGAGCTCTGTCCTCAGCTCCCCCTTGTCTGAGGTCTGTGTACCAGCGGATCCATTGGCTGGGGGTCCGGGTTTCTGAAACACAACTCAGAGACATATGTTAAGACAGAATCTTTAGTTTCTGTAGGGTAACCAAACAATTTTGTGACTCTAACTTGGCTATTGTTTCAGGCTATTACCTTCTTGCTTATCAAGTTGCTCATTGACTTCTCAGGGTTAGCTGGGTTCCTGGAATTTCCCTTGAAGGAACTCAAGATTTTCCTTTGTTTCAGTGCTTGCAATTGGTGGGGAGCAGGCTCCTAGGAGAGGTCCCTGATGTATTTCATGGTAGCGCCAGCCTCCCCTGCCCTGAGAAGGGGCTGCCCCTTTGCTTCTCCTCTCCATTACCGCTGCGCTCCAGAGCCCCACTCTGGTCTTCCCTCCCCGTTCCCACTCCCGTTGTTGACGGTACTTGCCTGGCCCCTGTAGGCATCTAAGTTTATGACTCCTGACACAGAGTGTCAGGACTGGAAGGGGCATTGGACACCATCCAATTACAGCAGCTGATAGGTACCGAGCTCCGAGTACCTGCTGGGTTTGTGCCCAGGACTTTCTGTGGTTTCTCTCATTTACACTTCACAACAGGACTCGTGAGCACTCATTTGAAAGAGGACAGCGTAATGCTAATACATTTCATAATGCTAGCATTTGACAGGCAAAATGAGACCACCTTGGACTGTTTTCTATTTTGCAGACATAAAAAGAAGGGAAAGAAAAATTACTGGAAAAAGCTGGATTTGTCCAAAGCGGAAATTGTGCTCTGGCTCCCTTCATGTCCTCCATAGCCATCGTGCTGACATTCTCCGCCACATCCTCCGGAGATGCAAGCTCGTCGCACCCGTGATAAGAGCTGGCTCAGGATCAGGCCTATTTTGCACCCTGACCCCTGCAAGTCCCAGGTGTGAAGCCCCTCCCTACCTTCGCTCAATACAGGAATTAGGAACATCATCCAATCATGGCAGGCCACAGGATGTGACTTCAACTCCAATCTTTTTTTTTTTTTTTTTCTGAGACAGGGTCTCATTCTGTCGCCAGGCTGGAGTGCAATGGTGCAGTGTCGACTCACTGCAACCTCTGCCTCCCGGTTCAAGTAGTTCTCCTGCCTCTGCCTCCCAAGTAGCTGGGATTACAGGTGCACACCACCACACCTGGCTACTTTTTGTATTTTTAGTAGAGACAGGGGTTTCACCATGTTGGCCAGGCTTGTCTCGAACTCCCAACCTCAGATGATCTGCCTGCCTCAGCCTCCCAAAGTGCTGGGAATACAGGCATGAGCCACTGTACCCAGCCACCTCCAGCTTTTAAAAACAAGTGCGTGGGTTGACAAGGGGTCCAGGAGAGCCTGACAGCAATTCTTCCCAAGTCCTTGGCTAGGCAGGGTCCATAGTTAATGTTGGAATGCAATTTTAAGTGTGAAAAAAAAAAAAAGAAATGGAAACCAAACAAGCAATTGGCTATTTTATTTATTTACACTACAAGAAGGGGAGCTTAGAAAATTTTCTCAGAGGGAGGAGGTGTAGTTATTAGGAGAGGCGGTGCTGTTGGGCTCAGAGTCTGGGTTTAGGAACCTGGTCTGCCTTGTTTAAATCCAGACTCTGCTCTTTACTAGCTATGACTTATAGCAAATCATTAAGCCTCTCTGGCCTCAGTTTTGTTGTCTGTAAATGGGACGATGATAGCCACAATCAGCGCTATTGTGAGGACTGAATCAGTTATTTTGTATAAAGCATGTAGAACCATCTTAGGCTCTTAGGTGCTATATAAGTATTAGCTATCCTTATTAGCCTGATTCTCATCTGGGCCAGGCAAATGAGGATTGAAAGCCTTAGAGGGAAAATTGGGATGAATGTGAGATATTCAAGTTCTTTACAAAGAGCCTCAACATCCAAAGATAAAGAAATGCTGAGCTAGAGGGAAAATGATTCCTGGCTTAAATAAAGAACAAAAACAGCTAAGCATTAAACCAGGTAGTTGGAGAAAAGTCAACAAGGCAAGAAACAAAATGAGAGAGAGAGAGAGAGAAGGAAATAAGCCAGTATGGGTAAGTGTGTAGAGGAAGAATTGCACCTAAAATCAGGGACCTCACTGGGGGAGGAAGGAGGTGAAGTTTGCAAAGCCAGAATGGTCTTGCTAAGCCATCCTTTGTGGAGCCCATGACTGCCCTGTGTTGTTTAATCCCATGACTTCCCTGTATTTATTGGTGAGTTGCTTTTATTTTCTCTGGTTCTTCAGCAGGCAACCTCTCACGCACAGTTGACTCTCACTTGCTCTAGGGCCTTCAGTCCAGCTGTGAGCCCAAAGCCAGACTGAATGGCAAGGATACACCAAGGCTCTATGCAACACTGCCCAATTATCGTGGCTTTCTCTGATCCCAGACCAAAAAAAAAAAAAAAAGAAACCTATTTTCTTTTTTCTCCAGTAACATATCAAGCAAATGAATTTGAAACCAAATTGAGCACATGCAGTTCATATTTTTGAACGTGATGTTTTAGGGGAATCTAGACCAAAACCAAATTTCCTGAATGCAAAGCTCTGGGTCCTTTGGAGTCAAAATTGATGGCAGTCACTTCCTCGGCTAGGGTCATGTCAGGAGTAGGTCAGCCCCAGGGTACTCTGTCATATCAGGCAACCTATGTGCTCTGTCAGCCAGGCCTGGGCTTCCTGAGCCAAGGAATCTTCTAGATTCCTTTGGGATCTAGAAGAGCTGAGTTTCCTTTGACGATGTATTTAGGACCAGATGTGATGGAAGCATCCTTCATCAACCTCTTAATGAAGGGACTAGGATTAGTTGAAGCTGGGGCCCCGTCCATGGGGCCCATTTAACAGCAGGCAGGATCACTTAGGATTTGATGAAGAAAGTTGTATTATTAATTTCTTAAATGAGTGGGAAGGGAGAGGCTGCTAATTACAAGTCGGACAGATGAGAAGATGAAATTGGAGAGCACCAACTGAAGGGAGAAGGCTTGTTTTCATTGAGCTATAGAATATTAACCACTCACTAGGCAGGGTGCAGCAAGGAAGGCCCCAGTGAACAGAGGTGATTTTTTTTCGGGGGTGGTTTGGAGGGAATTGCAGTTGACCAAAGGCTCTCAAATCTAGCCTTGTGTGGTGCATGGGGAGGCAGAGGGTGGAGGCCAGGCCTTGGGAACAGGAGAGCCGGGGTCACCCTTCAGCTTCCCCCAGAGGCAAGCAGGTCCCTCCGGGAACTTTCACCTCCATCCCTGAGGCTGTGGTGTGGTGTGTAGCACGGACATGGATGCTCTAGCTCCAAAGGGTCAGATGCCTCCGAAGAACTGAGAGCAGGGGGTGCCTTAGGACATCTGCATGGGCTTCAAGTGAATAGTCCAGGTTCAAATGAGGATGCAGTGTAGATGGAGATTGCCAGGTGTATTCAGTTAGTGGCCTGCCTCAGGCCTTTTCCCTTCTGAATCAACAGAGACAAGGGGATATACTTGCCACCATTTTGGTGAAAATCCAAAAGCAAACTAGATTAAGATGCTGCTGTTTCTAACCAGCCAACCCATGGTTTCTGAACCATGAAATGAAAGCATTGTTCCTCTGTGCATTCTGACAATGCCACCATTTCTAATCTCAGCAAGTTTAATCCCCATGTGTATAATGGTTTAGAGCCAAGGTGACTTCTCCTTCTAAACCCTCATACTTCTCTTTTGTTCTTCAGGCATTTAGTATGATTGCCATGTTTAATGTAATAAAGTTTGCCATTGAAATTTTGCCCTCCTGAGTAAAAGCAATGGCTGAAGCCAATGTCTCTCTAAGCAGAATGAAGGTAACTAATCCTGGGTGAGTAAGGAAGAGAGATCTCATTTTAGGGTGGGAAAATGCTCAGATATGTAGAGGCTGTACCAACATGTTGGAGAGCTGGGTCACCAGTTGAGCTGACATTGGAAGATGGGCATTCATTCAAAGTTAGATAAATAAACGTGTATGAAGGATAGAGCAAGCAGAGTTTTATAGGTTGTCTTACTTTGTAGGAATGATGAGATAGAGTCTCTATACATGAAGATGATGTTCCTGACCCTCTAGTCCCTAAACAATCTATATATCCTAAGTGTTCCACAAGTGAATTTGGGTTTGTACTGAGTCACCCCTACTTTACCTGGTTTGTCCTTTGATGGGCGTGGTGATGGAAGTGATGAAGAGGATGGTGGGGTCCCCAATTTATGCACTCATTTAGTTTCTTCATTCATTTATTCACTCATCAAAAATTTACTTTGTGCCTCCTATACACAAGACATGGAAAATGCAAATGCAAGGAAGAGAGAGCCTTTATCCTCAAGAGCCTCTGTTCCAGTGTGGGACCAGGCACTCCAAGGATTTCTATGCATGATAAGGATATAAGTGGCATTCAAGAAGGGCAAGTAAAGTGTTTTGAAAGTTCAGCTGAGGAGAGGAAAGGGAATAAGGGCATTTGAGCCAACATAAAACTTGTTCAAGCATCTATGATTGAATGACCATAGATCATCATTGATTGAATGATCTTACCTAAGCCAGAAATCCGCAAGTCATTGTAAGTATCCTTGGTTCATGTACTCCTCTTTTCCCTTAGCATACACATCCGACCAGTGAAGAACCCTGTCAAGCCAACTCCTGATTATGATATTCTCTCCATTTTAAGGGGTGCCATTGTAAGGTTGGATTGGAAGGTGCACTGCTGAGTTACCACTTTTTGAACAAAACATAAGAATCAACACCATCCCATTAACTGCATGTATTATGATATCAGAAAAAAATAAAGGTGCTTCTTAAACTAGATGAAGGATGGCATTTCTTGACTTCTCAAGCTTCACTCTGTCCCTACTGCCATTGCCTTCAATCGAGGCCTCCATCACCTCTCATCTGATTAGTGCAGTGATTTACGAACTAACCCTTCTTTTTCTAACATTCTCCTCAGGTTCGTATAGCACTCAACCCTACGAGAGCTGTTAAAATATTGGTCTGATTACCAATACTCATTCTCACCTGCTCAAAATCCTTGAATCCTTGTCTCCTCCAGATTCTCCACCCATGGGTTCGCAGTTTTGTGTCCACCTCTCTTCCTATCCCCTTCCCACCTTGAGCTCTGTGCCTCAGTAATTCTGAATTGCTTGTTTCATGCCGCTACCCCAGCAAACCATGCCTTTGCATGCTCCTTGCCTTTGCCCATGCTGGGCCCTAAGGTGGAATGCTCTCACTGTCTTTCCCATCTCTCATCTCTGCCTGTACAACACCTGCACAGACCCAGCTCAAGCACCAACTGCACGGACCTCGAGGATGAGAAGCCAGTGTCCCTTCTCTGTGGTCACAATACTTTGTCCTCATCACATTTTACAGAAACAATCTGTGCATGTACTCATCTCCCTCCAGACTCTAATCTCTTCAAGGACAGGAACTGTGCCATATTTATATTTGCATTTCTGCTGTTCAGCCCAAAGTCTGGCACATGGTCAGGGCTTAGCAAATGCTTTGTTGAACTGGGCTGAGTGGGCTAGGAACAGGACACAGCAGAGATTGAACACATGACCTTGGTTTCATAAGCATTTAGTGCTAAGAAGTGAAGTCCACTGCCCTAAGACTGGCAAGACTGACTGTCTTGAGCACGAGGGTGAAATGTAGCTGGGATCGGCATTCTCCAATGTGGGTAACCCACATAGGCCTTGTGGTTAAAAGGCAACTGTTCCAGATAGCATGAGCTAGTGGACTATTTCTGCTGCAGCTTCTCCTGGGGGAGTAATTTCAGAACCTCTTTCCTGGATGTGCTGGGTTAGAATGGTCAAAATTATGACTTGGGGTTATTAGAAGATATATTGGGATGATTCTTGCAAATGCATGACATCTGCTCTGTTAATTTTATCTCTTTAATCTTAGAAAATTCTCATAGATAAAAGCCCTCCATCTTACATTACCCAACCGGAAGACCTAGATATTGTGTCACTTGTAGCAAATGCCACCTTGACATGGAACATGAAGCCAGCAGGAAAAGTGACCCAAAGAAAGTGCAGAACCTGAAGAGGCATTTATTCAAGAAACAGCAGTCAGAGGCATTCAGTGAGTGGAGTCCAGCAGCCAAAGGAGCCACTGCCCATGTAAGCCTTGTGGTGAGAAAGGTGAGTGTGTGTTGCACAGATGTGGCCTCTAGCCCTCCTCCTTGCATTGTATAGCTATGACCTTCCCCAGGTCTGATTCAGTTCAGTTAGAACGGGAGGTGGTGATGGGATGTCTCTAACCAGAGTCCCTGTATTATTCCCCTAGTTTTAAAACTATGTACATGAACATTGGAGACCCCCTCTCCGAGTGTGGAGAAGATGGTGGTTATATTCATTCTGATTTGCAGGGCTTCCCTTGGAGTCAGTTGCAATTTTGAATGAACAGTCCACTCCAGGTGGCTAGGCTTGACCTGACTACCTTTCATAAGTCTTTTTATATTTGTTCTTTTCTCATGAGTGTGAGACAGGGTCTTACTCTGTTTCCCAGGCTGGAGTGCAGTGATGTAATCAAAGCTCACTGCAGCCGTAAACTCCTGGGCTCAAGCGACCTCCTACCTCAGCCTCCCAAGTCTCTGGGACTACAAGTATGCATCATCACGCCCACATAATTTTTTAAAATTTACTGGGGGAAAGTGATAATTTTTAAGTTAAATTTTATTTTATTTTTTTGTAGAGATTTCAGAGCCTCTTTCTTGCTGTTTCCCAAGCCGGACTTGAACTCCTGGCCTCAAGTGATTCTCCTGTCTTGGCCTCCTGGGTCAAGCACTGGGATTATAGGCATGAACCACTGCTCCTGGCCTAGATAGGTTTTTAATTTCACATTGGAATATTATGATAGATAATGATGACTGAAAATTTTGAACACTACTATTTACCAGACACATAATAAACTCACGCTACCACCCCAATAACCAGGCATCACAACTGCCCCCACTTGATGATTGAGAAGCCCGAGGCACAAGAGTGTTAAATAGCTTGCCCAAGGTCACTAGCTAGCAGTGGCAGAGGAGGGTTTCACACCCAGGGCACCTGGTTTCAGAGTCTGGGCTCTTAACCACAGGGAAATACTCCTCTTATAAAAAGCAAACTGAGATCAACAAGCAATCTGGCCAAGATCTAAAGGTCTAAGCCAGCCAAGCCAGGTCTTGGCTGTTCCGTCCCTCAAGACTGGGGGAGGGAGATTTTAGGCCACACTGCGGATTTAAGGAACGTTTGGCCTCCTCCTGCATCTCTTGCGTGCCTCTGCTTCTCGCTCTGGGAACTCAGCAGTGCGCTCCCAGGGTAGCAGTGTTGATTTAGCTGCAGAGGGCCCAACATTAATCTTGTGCCTAGTAGTTTAATCTCTCACCTTGTTGACTCACTCTTTCCCTGTGCGAGCATTGTAGAAGGAAAGGTTCTCATTTATTATGTAATGTCAAGCTCAATAGCCAGTGTGAGAATGGTACTCTCGTAGCTAACGATGCTGACTGCCACGTATTCATTGGAAACAATATTTGGTTGGCTGAGTACAATTGAGCTCAGAATTCAGCTAAGTCCCTCCGAGTGCCACCTACTTTGCCTTCTTGTCACTTTCCCCGCGGAGCGCCAGACTTCCCCCACACCGCCTTCCCATTTGCCTCCGAGAGGCCTCTACAAACTCCCAAGGTGCTCTAAGGACATTGCCTTCTAGCCACGAAATGGTTTTACTGACGTGCTTTTCAGTATGTTGGTGACTCCAGAATTCGTGCCTCAATGATGCAGTCAATGTTTTGTGGAATAAATTGAAGTTACAGTGTGGTGCTGATGAAGTGTATTGCCTCTGGAACCTGGGGGACCCTAGTTCCAGGCCCAGCCACTTTCTAGCTGCTTGACTTTGGACATCTTGCCGAAGCTCCCTGAGCCTCTGTTTCTTTACCTGTGCCATGCATTTCATAGAAGTACCCATTTCACAAGGTGGTTGTAAGAACTCAGACACGACATAAAAATGCTAAGCCCATAGTTACTGTCAACTGATGTTAGGTACGGCTGTTGCCTTTTTCTTTAATAATTATGTCCAGCCTCAGTGCTGCCCTCAAATGTTCGACATTCAGCACATCCAAGTTTTTCCAGGTTCAGCTCCTCAATTCCATTAGACTGGATCCTCCATGGGATCAGGGTTTTTTGTTCACAGTTATGTCCTTATCTCCAAGCCCAGCGTGTGGCTCGGAGGTTGCCGGCAATGTTTGTCAGGCGAAGCGTCAGAGGATAGAGGCCTCATGGATTTTCTGCTAAAGACAAGGATGAATCTAGAAGGCTTCTTCCTTGCCCCCAAGAAGTGGACAGGACTCAGAGGGCAACCAAGTACCTAGTGAGACTAGATCACATCTGTGGTCTCTTTGTCCGCAAGTCTCCATAATGCCCCAGTTTCTTGAAGCCCTTTTATGGGAATTAAATAGAATCAACTTCATTTACATGCATGTGGGCTCCACAAAGGCAGGGAGGCATCTGCATGGATCACTATTTTGTCCCAAGGTGCCTGGGATTCAGCAAAGACCTTGTCTAAGGAATTATTGATGACAGGCAGCAACTCTCATGTGTTGCAAGTGGCAGAGAGGGGATGGCCCTTTCTGGTCTAGCTTGGGGTGGGGAAAAAAAGCCATATTTGGCCCCATGTTGGGCATCTTTGCCCTACAGATTACAGGGAGCAGGCCTACATGAGAATGTTCTTAGATGCTCCAAATGCAGTACTGCAATATCTGCTTGAACACAAGAGTGGTCCTGCTCCCACCTCAGTCTCCACATGGGCTGTTGGTCTGCAGTGATTCTCCCCAGATATCCCCGTGGCACCCTTCCTCACCTCCTTCAGGTCTTACCCAAATGTCACCTGTGGCAGATGCTGTTCCTGCCCATGTGCCCTGGACCTCTAAGTGTTTCCTGGCCATCTTCCAACTGCCTCATCTGTATCTGTGCCCGAGGGCTCTGCACACCTCCATAAAGACCTTCACAGACTAGAGAGGAGGCCTCAAACAATGACTGCTGGGGCCTCAATACCCCAACTCTTTCTGCCACTGGACGAGACAAAGCCATACTCAGTTCCCCAGAGTTTCCTCCAGTTTCCCTGCAGGGGTGAGTTCCATCTGCCTCCTGGGTAGGATATTCTGTTAGGGAGCTAACCCAATCGGCTGCCCTTTTTGGGCCACCTTCCCTCTCCTGTATCAATTTCCTCTTCCCTGATGGAATTTCCTGCACCTTCCAAATGTGAGTGTGACTTTCATTCAAACCCTTGATTCAAGGTGTGTTTCTGGGACAACTCAAGCTAAGACATCTACCTTTCCAGTATGGCTTTCCTGGCCCCCCCGAACCCTCAGTCCACTCCTTGTCTCTTCTCTGCTTTCATTTCTCCAAGGCAAGCATAGATGTGCCTGCCCTACATTTCACTTACTTGTCTTGCTTCCTGCCCCTCCCCCCATGACTACAAGGTAAGCTCCATGAGGGCAGACTCAAGCCTTTGCCCGTTGTGTTCATTGCTGTTCTTGCTGGTGGTTTGAACAGTGCCTGGCACATAGCAAGCTCTAATAGTGATTTGTTGGTTGAATTAATAAATCCGCAGCTTTAGAATGTTAGAGTAGTGTAACTTCTTAGTAATTCCAGATTGCGTTATTATGGTGGAGGATTCCACAAAAGAAATTTTTTTTTTGAACAGCTCCTAGATCTCCATGCTTCAAAAGCTACCCTAATCACCCTGGGTTGTACAGCCTTTCGTGTCCCATTAGATTTGCTTTCCTGGAGTCTGGACACAGAATAGTCTTCATCTTCAGGGCCTGTGTCTCCCAGATCAGCACAACGCTGTTTCACATCAGTGATCTTACATGATTTCTAGAAGCCCTCTGGGTGCCTGGCTATGCCACACAAGGGAAAGCACTTAATTAAGACTTACATTCCTGCATCCTCCCAGGCTGTGTGTATGTGGGCAGGGGTGGGGTGGCTACAGTTGCCATGGCCCAGAGCCTGCGGTGACCCCTTGGTCTCCACCTGGACTGACCAGCACAGTTTGGGAGCAGCACCTTTGGACCAGATTCTCTAAGAAGTGGGAGAGAATAACCCACATGTTAATGTCCCATTTCTGTTTCTCTGGCAGGGGAAGATCTTGGGAATATGTGGGAATGTGGGAAGTGGAAAGAGCTCTCTCCTTGCAGCTGTCCTAGGACAGGTAAGCTGTGTGGTAAGTGCTGTAAAGATGGGACATTAACATGACAATGAAATGGCTCCCTTCCGGCCAGGCGTGGTGCCATCAGAACAGTGGACCCAGCAGATGGGCTAGGCTGCACTGGACACTGTGTGTGTGGTTCATGTTCATTTCTGGGAGGTTAATGCATTCAGCAGCTCCAGGGCCCTGGGCCAGATGAGGCTGAGCTTTTCACACACTCTTGAATTTGCCCTCTGAGGAAGTGTGTTGAATGGTGATTGCCCCCTTGCCTAAAGCTCGATCATGGTCAAAGGAAAGATGGGTCCTTAAACCCATGGTTTTCTCCATGACTTGGGCTGCCCTGATTTAGAAATGCCAGCAAGGCAGCTGGGTGAGGAAGGACTTTGGCATCTGGAACTCACGGTGACTATAGATATATTTTATGTGTGAACTAAAGCAGCTTGTGCCCCCAGCTTTTGCAAACCTTGCGGTAAAAGAGAGAGGGGACTTGGGTCCTTGTACCTTCTATACTCCCTCTAGTTGGGTGACCCCAGGGAAAATGGCCAAGACATTTGTAGTTTTCACAAACCTTTATATCACCATGGTTTTTAAGTCACATCCCACATGAATGAGTTTTGTGGGAAAAAAGTGCTAAGTCCTCTTTCTCCCCCTCTGCTGTTGCTAAAGGGAAGTTTGGGCGGCTGGGATTGCCTCTTTGAGGAAGAGGTCAGGGTACTTCTGAAGAAGTGGGGATAACAGAATACGGTGGTGGGGGGATGTGTCTTATAAGTTTTAATACGAGTGACTTCTTTTGGCCTCGGTTGACTCATCTATAGAAATAATGCCAACTCCTTCCCTTCATGGAGGCGGAGGTGGGGGTTGAATTGGGTGAGTTCTTGAGGTTCCCCCACATTCTGAGAGTGTGTGCCTCCGTGATGAGTCAGTGGGAGCCGTTGAGGTGACTCAGCTCAATCCTCCACTTAATGATGTAAATACTCTTGATAGCATCCTACTGCATAAGGGATGGTCCAACTTCTGCTCAGATAGCTCCAGTGATGGGAAACTCATCATGTCACAGCCAGGTCCCTCTTTGGAGAGTTTTGATGTATATTGGAGTGAAATTTGCCTCCTTTTAACTTCTGTCCTTGGGAAATTTTGAGATAACATTGAATCTAACTCCCATGCAACAGTGGTAGGATCAGGCCCCTCACTGCGGCCACTGGGGAGGAACGGGGGCACTCTGGACTGCTTGGGTTCCCCAGCCATTTCTGCCACATGCTCACTGTTTAGTTTTGGGCAGGTAACTTAACCTCTGTGAGCCCCATACAACCTCTTGGTTTCCTTGTCTGTAAAATGGGGCTAAGGAGAGTTGCGGTGAGGATTGAATGAGATTATGTAAGTCATAGTTGGCTACAGGATAATTTTCAAGGCCAGTCATGGTGATATACTTTGAGCATACACTTAATGCAGTGCACGGAATATACCCTACACATTAAAAATACCACGATCACTATTGTTATCATCATGGTCTTTTCTCCAAATTGAATTCTCTGTCCTTTGCATAATTCCTGAAGTGAAATGGCATCACATCCTTTGGCTGCTTTGGTGACTCTCTTTCTCTGCCCCCGGACCCACTGCCACTGCCCCGTGAGCATCAGCCCTGAGAGCTGTGGCCTGCCCCACATGTCCCCTCTGTTGATAGCTTTGAACGTTGCATCCCCACGAATGTCTACCATTGTCTATTGGATGCTCACCATGAGGGGTCATCTTAAATGAATGTATGTACTCAGGGTCGCAAACTGGAGCCCATGCATAGTTTTAAGTGGATTGCTGAATGTTTTAAAAGTCCAAAGATTTCATATACAACTGGATCTTTGACTCCTCTTGACAAATCAGCAACTCCTGCCCCATCAAGCCTGCATCCTTGCATACCACCAATGATGCAACTGAGTCAAGGCGGCTTCCTGAAGGTGGGGCTAGCACCAACAGCCATGCAGGCTGTTCCCTGCTCCCAGGAGCTGGCTGAGCAGGTTGGATCCAGCCAATGCACCTGGAGGAAGGGGAGCCTCTTGTGAAGAGTCTGCTCAGAGGACATCCTGTTGTAGTTGGGCCCAGGTGCCATGTGCGCTGGGAGCAGCCCTGCAGTCCAGGCTCTCCAGTTTGCAGCAGGGCTCACCACTGCCTCTTTTTAAACATTCCCTGCTTGGCCCTATGCAGGTGTTTGACTCTGAGATTCTCCATCTACATGGTTGGGCTTTCTGGTGCTTGGACAAGATGTTCTGTTGACGCTTTTGCACCTTTGTAAGCAATACTCATGAAATCGATGGGTGGTCGGGAGCAATGGGTGCTCGGGAAAAGTCCTCAAGGCTTGGCTCCTGAAGCTTCTCTGGTCTTGCTGCTCCATATGCCCCTGCGCGAAGGGGTGGTGGCAGTCCGTGGAACTTTGGCCTACGTTCCACAGCAGGCGTGGATCTTTCATGGAAATGTGAGAAAAAAGCCTACTATTTGGAGAAAAGTATGATCACAAAAGGTAGTATTAACTTTCAAAGCAAGAGGCACATTTACGTTTGGTACACATTCTCCTACAGATGCCAATGCTGTTGGTAATGACTGCTAAGTGGGTTCTGAGTTTAATGAGTTCTGATTAAACATTCATCAGATCCACAAAGACACTGGTTGTCTTCTTCCTGAGCCAAGCATTCAGGAGAGGCAGCTTCTGCAGACCTGCGACTGCACGCTGGGAACAGGATAGAATTGGCACTTCATTCCCAGGGCAGAGGAGCATATGTTCCGAGGTTCTCTGCAAGAGGACATATGTGGCCTGACGAAAGAAATAGAAATCTAGCAATTTTGCTTTAGGCTGAGTACCCAAAACTGCTTGAAATCATGAGCAAGTATGTAATGAATCAGCCCTGACATTATTAATCGACATCAGAGCTCTCAGGATATATTATCACCGTTAGTGTCCTCAGAATGATCTAATCGAATAAAAACAAAGCTCAACTTATAATTGCTCGATTTTTAACTGTTATTTTATTTTTAAATGGACATAATTACATCTATCTCTGGGGTGCACTTTCATGTTTTGATATATGATGCTGGGGGAGAGGGGAGTGTGGGGAAAAAAAAGATGTTGACCGAAGGGTACAAAGCTTCAATTAGACAGGAGAAATAGGCGCTAGTGACCTATTGTACACAATGGTGACAGTAACACATTTTAATGCATTATATATTTCAAAAGTACTAAATGAGTATACTGTAAATGTTTTCAACACGAAAATTGCGAGTATTATTTTTAATAACCGTAGTACGTAATGAACAGAGAGCAATTTGGGAAGAAGTATTTTCTCTAAGAACATTTAACAACTGATTAATTCCATAATCACCTTGGACACTTCTAGAGTGATTCTCTCCCTACTTCTGAAATGTTTGATTTTTCTAAATTTTAATTTTAATGTAGATTCAGGGGGTGCAGGTTTGTTACAGGGGCACATTGTGTGATACTGAGGTTTGGGTTTCTACTGCTCCTGTTCACTCTCTAGTGGACATAGTACCCAAGAGGAAGCTGTTCATCCCTGCACCTTCCCTCCTTTTAGGATCCCCAGTACCTATTGCTGTCTTTATGTCTGTGCATACCTGAGGTTTAGCCCCCACTTATAAATGAGAACAAGTGAGATTTGGTTTCCTGTTTGTGTGAATTTACTTAGGATAACGAAGTCCAGCTGCATCCATGCTGCTACATGACCTTGTTCTTTTTTATGGCTGCATAGTATTTCATGGTGTATGTATATTGCATTTTCTTTATCCAATTCCCTATTGATTGGACCATCATCTTTAAGCTCTGGAATGTAATGGTTTCCTATGGTTCTTTGCTTAGCTTGGTGTATTGCTATGTACATTCTCTCATTTAAGTCCCATAACCACCCATTTAGGGAGATCCTGGCATTATATCCTCATTTTATAGATAAAGAAAAAGGCCCAGAGAGGCGAGTTGACCCTCCCAAGGTATTAAGTGCTATTAAATGTTGAGTTGAGTCTTGGACTTAGACTTTGAGCTCCAGATCAACATCAGTTGCCTGGAGCTGGAGGTGCCTGACAGCTGGGTCACTCAGAAACCTTTCCAGGCATCACAATGCTGAATTAAGAGAATTGGAGTTGGTGTTAGGAATTTGGCTGTAAGCTCTCAAGCAGTAGTTTGCCCTTTCCAATCTTACCCACCAACTCTGTCCCTGCTGCTGGCATGGCCAGCATGTATGTTCCCAGGAAGAGGCTTGTCAGTTACCCCTTCTTCCCTGGCCATGTCATCCTGTGGCCAGGAGGCTCAGGTGTGGCAGGGAGGTGATAAGTGCAGTAGTCAGTGATCAATGCAGCCAAATTATTCTGCTCAGCATCTCTTGGCCTGTGCCACCCACCTGGAATGCCTTCTTTTTCTGTGGAAGTGGACTGGACAGAGGGTTGCCTTATTCATCAAAATGATGTTCAGAGGGCAAATATGTGCCAAATGCCTTCAGCATGCAGGGCAACATGGGGACAGAGATGGCTCAGGTGTATGTTTGCCCTTAAGATACTCAAGCCTGGAAGGAGCTATTAGAAATGCACAGAAATGACAGTGCACCAGGAAGAGATGTGCCAGGTGGCAGGAGACTATGCTTGGATTGTTCCAAGGTGGCAGAGATCACAAGAGGGTGGTGGATCTGGAAAGAGAGGGTGGCACTTGAATTGGGCTTTGAAGGATGGCTCTAGCATCATTCCTATGTGGCGTGATTAGCAGAGATTCTGCTCCTGGGGCAGAAACTGTGGCTCTCAGGGCCATAGGAAGCAGGAGGGTGGGAGGAAATTGAAGGTGGGAGGGGCTGAGGGGAGGAAGATGTGCTGAACAGTCTGAGTCTTGTAGTCGCAAATTGGCAAATGTAGTAATAGTAATAATAGCCCCTACTGTCCCCTGTCCACAGAGAAATAATAGTTGCAGATTGGCAAACATAATAATAGTAATAATAGCCCCCCCCATCCATAGATTGGGGAGCGGGGCCTCAACCTCTCCAGGGAGCAGAGGCAGCAGATTAGCCTGGCCCACATTGTCTACTCTGACCATCAGCTCTACCTACTGGATGACCCCCTGTAGGCCGTGGATGCCCACTTGGGGAAGCACGTCTTTGAGGAACACATTAAGAAGATGCTCGGGGGAAGACGATCGTCCTGGTGACCCACCAGCTGCAGGTAATGGGACATGCAGGATCCAGGAGGTCACGGGATGGGTATGGCTGGTGCCTGATGCTCACAGAGGATCCTCTTCTGCCTAAATCTACCTGCCTTCAGCTGGGAATGTGGGGAGACAGCCAGGGATGCAAGAGACACTCATGCTTCCCCAGCCTTCCTGGCTCCCAGGAGCCCCGCCTGCTCCACTCTGTGTATGGCCTCAGTGGGGCCAAGACCTCTCCTGCACCGGAGGGTAGAGTCTCTAGAAGAAATTAAGTCCTGTCTGTGGGCGGACTAGGGCACACTTCCCCCAGTTCTGAGCACTTGGTAAGATGGGGAGCCAGGGAAGGCAATGAAGGCCCCACCCTTCCTCCAGCAATTCTGGGCAGTCCTGAGGCCAGGGGCGCCTTGTCTGGGAGTTTCAGGTAGACCCCTTGGATGACGGGCCTGGATGACCGAGGCATCACATCCCAGGGGAAAGGGGCTAGAAGTCAGGACTTTGGGACTAAGGCTGAGGCTTTGGAGAAGGTCTCTCTGCTCAGGGCCACTCTCTCAGGCTAAGGAGCATGAATCATACTGAAGAAAGTGACTGGGCTTGACCTGAGTGAATTTGAGAATTTGGCAGGGTGGGGACAGTCCTGACTGCGTAAGGGGTCCTGAACGCCTGGTGGGAATCCAAGAACATCTTCCTCCCAGGGCAGGTTCCCCTACTTCCAGACCATCTCCCTCTCCCCTCTTTATAGGGAGTCCCCAGAGATGTGTGGGGGAAGGGGTATGGTGCATGTGTGTGTACATGTGTGTTCATGTGTGCACGTGGGTGCCTCCTTGCCCGACGAGAGAGTCCTCAGGACTGACTTATGTTGCGAGGCCTACTGGGGCAGGAGAGCAAGAGTCCTGTCTTCTTTACTCTCCTGCTACCTGCAGAGAACATGTTACATAAGGGCCTGGTCTGGAGGCAGGAGGCCGGTCTCATTGCCTTGCAAGGGTAAGTCAAGTGGGGGTGGAGAGGGAGGGGCAACAGCAGCAAATAAGGTTGCCATGGCTACAGGATGCTGCAGCCAGCATTTAAGGACCATCCGGTAGTGGCCAGGAGGACCAGCCTGGAGCTGGGGAGGACCAGCTTGAAGACTCCGTAAAATCAGGCTTTCCCATTGCTGTGACGCTGCCCCTAGCTTGAGCCCGACCTTTGCCCAGGGCTGCAGTTCTGGCCCTGGAATAAGCTCCAGGCATCCGAATTTTGCACACGAGGATTGTCTGGATTTCCTCTGAGTGGGCCTGAGCACCTCCAGAAAGCATCACATTGGACTGGTGCGGACAAGACCTCTTGGTTCTTCTGGCCTAGTTCTCCTTCTGAGGAGTTAGGATGGAGGACGAGGTCGGATTTCTTCAAGACCCCATGAAGCGACTACAAATGGGCTCTGGCCCAGCCCAGACGCTAAACATGGCAGCCCCTGCTCTGCACCGGGAATGTCCCTGGAGATTCCCTGCAGCAGGAAGGGCTGTCCTCTGAGGGCTGTGGGGACCTGGAGGGGGATGCCTTGTCCCTACAGATGTGGGTCACAGCTGTCCCTCCAGGAGTCTTCATGAGGGGAATCATAACCTCAGTCCTGGTCCAGTCTTTGAAACTGACTGACCAGCAGTATGACCTCAGGCAGGAGCCATCTTCACACCAGGCCCGCCTCCTCAGAGTCCACTTCCCCCGTCATTTTATCTCACTTTTTGCATGTTGGAAGAGGCAGGCAGCCACTAGGTGGCACCGGATCTTGGTCCCACTGTCCCTTGTCAGGGAGAATGGGACTCAGAGCCCCAGATCTGGGCCATGGAGCTTTCCTAAAGCCCATCCCCTCTGCGCTGACTCTCAGGCCCATAAGCAATCTGGGTGCTTCTGAGTGGTTGGGGTGGAGGATCGCTTTTCTAAGGAAACAAGTGAAAAGAGCCTGGGAGCGGCCACTGAAAGCCAGCCCAAGGGCAGATTCAGTGATGGTTTGCAGAACAGAACTGCTCAAATCTGCCTCATATCTCTGGAGTGCACTGGGGGCTTGCTGGCCAGAGGGGGCCTCCCTGGGGGCTCCTGGAGCTGGAGTGTGTGCTGTGACACAGGCAGAAAAGACTGTGAGACTAGAACAGGCTTACGGTGCCTCAGTTTCCCCATCTGAAAAATGAGCTGATAAGACAGGGAGCTGGGCAGTCAGTGGGAGGGAGGAATGAGGGCTGGAGCTGTCCAAGCTGTTAGAACTGTTATCATTCAGCCTTTGGGTACCCTCCCTATTCGCTGAATCAAGTGCACAATGACCGAACGTAGCTATTTCAAGCTTGTAATCAAGACCGGCAGAGGTTGATTTGATCTTGGACGAACGTGCAGTATCGGGGAAGATCTCTGGCCCGTACTGCAAAGGCTTCTTTAGGTCAAACCATTTTCAATCTCGGCATCTTGCCTGCCTCTAGGAGGGGGCTTCCTTGATCCTGTGGGGAGGGCTCTGTGTCTCATTCCAAAATGAAAGGAAACCCCTCGTAGCAGAGCTCCTTGATCTCAAGAATGATATGGAAATGAAGGGAATTCAAATTAAAAAAAAAAAAAGAAGACAAAAACAAAAGTGCTTTGGGCAAAATGTGGGATGCCAGCATTAAACGTAGCTGTGTTTTTATCTCATACATAACGCTGGTGTAAACATCTCAGGCCAGGGAATGCGGCCAGTTGTCTGGGGATGGCACCGTGGTCTGCTTCTCTGGGGTAAACGGGGAAGACGAGGGAGCCTTGTCATGTTAGAACAGCGGAAGACCTTCCTGAAGATCATATTTCCCCTCCTTACTAAGTCCTGGCTGCAGTGACTGTCAATTTTATTTTCCAAATCTTCATGATCAGTTTTCTATTTATTTATTTTACTTTTTTTGAGATGGAGTCTTGCTCTGTTGCCCAGGCTGGAGTGCAGTGGTGCCTTCTCAGCTCACTGCAACCTCTGCCTCTTGGGTTCAAGTGGTTCTCCTGCCTCAGCCTCCCGAGTAGCTGGATTATAAGTGCATGCCACCACGCCCAGCTAAGTTTTGTATTTTTAGTAGAGATAAGGTTTCACCATGGTGACCAGGCAGGTCTCGAACTTCTGACCTCAGGTGATCCACCTTCCTCAGCCTCCCAAAGTGCTGGGATTATAGGCATGAGTCACTGCCCCCAGCCATGGTCAGATTTCTTAGGAAGGCAGCTCATTTAAGGAGCAGTGGCAAAGGAAGATGCAGTGTGCTTCACTGTGACAGCCAAAGGCTGGTTGGCTTTTTTTGTACTCATGAGACCTGTGGGTACTCGATGAGTGGTTCTGTTAGGGGCCAGTCTGCCCCCAGGAGGCACTTGTCAGTGTCTGGAGACATCATTGCTTGTCACACCTTCGGGAGGGGGTGCTACCTGCATCTGGTGGGTAGAGGTCAGGAAGGTTGGTAAATGTCCCACAGTGCATGGGACAGCCCCCACAAACAGAGAATTATTTGGCCCCTAATGTCAACGGTGCTAACTAAGGTTAGAGAAGTTTGGCATGGGCTCTCCTTCCTCTTACCCAGGCAGGAGTTGATTCTTGATCACTTACCTCTGCAGTTCTTACAGTCCTGTGATGAAGTTACTTTGTTAGAAGATGGAGATATTTGTGAAATGGAAAGCCACAAGGAGTTAATGGAGGAGGGAGGGCATTATACAAACTGATTCACAACCCTCGAGGATTGCAGTTCAAGGTAACTCCCACCTGGGCAGGTGTGGGAGGGACTGGGGAGGAATCCCTTGAGATTTCCTGCCTGGGAGAGGTCCTGTCACTTAGCTTTCAGAAGGAATTTCGTTTTATCTCCAGGATCCTGAACACCTTTATAATGCAGCAATGGAAGAAGCCTTCAAGGAGAACGCTGCCAAGAGAGAGGAAGATGCTGGTATGATGGGTTAGAATCCCATCCTTCTTATTGTCCTTGGCTTGAATCGACACTGATCTTTTTTTTCACCCTAGTTTTGGCTCTCTGAAATGAGAAAGATGAAGGAAAAGAATCTGAAACACACTCAGAATTTGTAGACAGAAAAGATATTTCCCACTCATTCCCTCAGTCACGTATGCTTAAGGATGTATTGGGCATCTACTGTTGAGGATACATACAGTGTAGACACTGTGCGTGTCATTTTGGGCAGCTAGAATTGGATGGTCTAGGGTAGTGTGTGCCTTGGGGTTCCACTGCCTAAGTCCAAATTTTGGCTTTCCCACTTACTAGTTTTGTGAGCTTGAGCAAGACTCTTGGCCACTCTGAACCTTAGCGTCCTAATCCATAAAAGGAGGAAATAGTACCAACCGCGGTTTCTTGCAAAGATTAAATGAGAAAATATACATAACGTGCTTCACACAGTGCCTGACACACAGTGATGCTCAATAGTTATGAGCTGGAGAGATCGAGGTAATACACAGGGATTAGTTAGAGGCAAAGGCAGACCCAAGAGCTGTTTCCCACTCATTGAGAACGGATTATGAAGCCGTGAGGGGATCAAGGTGGGACAAGGTTATTAATTCTTTCAACAGATAAAGGCTAAGCATTAACTGTGTGCCTGGAACTAAGCTGGGCAAGGGAGAGGAAGAAGAGAGGCCCATGTTCTCAGGATCTTGTGGTCTGGTGGGGGCTCAGGCAGATGGGTAACTATGGAGAACCAGTAAGAGTAATGGGGAATTTGGGTGAGAGAAACAAACACGTCAGGGAGGGCTTCACAGCAGGACAGCCTTGGGACTGGTACTTCAAGGACGTATAAGAGTTTGCTGGGGACACTGTGGTGAGAAGGTGGGAAAGGGTGGAGGGCTTGAGGTTGAGGGCAGGAAGAGATTCCAGGGAGGTGGGGAGGTGAGATGTGGAAGACGAGCCTGGTGGGGGCCAGCTGGTCAGACCACCTCTTCTCCTCCTTAGATACCCTGCCTTCATTCACTCCACATCCCTACAGCACCCACTCTGTCCCCTGCCTCGTGCTGGACACAGAGAGGATGGGGGGTCAATAGTCCTCAAAGTACACACAGCAAGGTGGCTTTCCGAGTTGGAGTGCTGTTCCTCAATGATACATAGTAAAAACAAACAAACAAACAAAAAAACAGCATATTTCATTACATTTAAGACTCCATCCATTTTTTAATGCCACCACCATTTTACCTACCACTTGGAAAGAAAATATAATCTCTGCTAATTAAATGACATGACATACTAGAAAATGGAAGGCACATCCAGATTCCAGAGCTGATACAATGTGGGGGAAAGAAGTGAAGCTTCAAATCGATGAGATCTGGCATCCTCATGGTGTTTGTGATGAATGTATTCACATTTGGAAAGACAACAAATTTTCACAGTTCCAGAGGCTTCCAGGGCTCAAGTACCCAGATATCTCTTCTGCGCATTTTGGAGAAACCCCCAGGCTGCCTGCGATTTGGGGTCCTGTGGAGAGAGTAATCCCTGCTCCTCACTTCCTCATCACTCACCCTTCTCTGGAGAGGAAAGCGTAATTGTGAAATTTCACGCTGGAGAGAGACCCCGTCCTCAACGATGAACAACTGGGCTATCAAAGGCTGCGAAGGCTGGAGGAGGGGAGGCACTCGCGGACCGGTTAGAGACAACGCTGCCCACCTGCCTGGCGTCGCAGCGCCTTCTAGGGCACAGCCGAGGCAAATGGAGCATGAGCAGCACACTGCCCCGGCCTGCGGGCTGCAAGGGGATGTGACCAGCCCGTTTTGTGCTCCCGGATGCTGTTCATTAAGATCTGCCCACATGCTGAGCCATCTCCCTCATTTTGCAGTTTCAGAGGGAGACACAATGAGCTGAAGTCAGGCTGAACATTTTCAAAGGAGCTCCAGGTTCCTAGGCAGCAAGTATAATGGTGGCTCTATTCAGCGAGGTGCCTTTGAGGTGTGAAAACGTTTCCTGGTGGGCCAGGGTGCACAGAGTCCATATGCAGGGTGCCCCCTCTTCTAACTCTATTTATCTCTGTTTATAAAAGCCAAGTACGGTGTATGATTCTGCTTTGGAGCTGACATTTTCATGTTTCTCTGTGGAGAAGCAGAAGAGACCCGCATTCCGTACTGGCTGCTGGGAGCTGCTTTAGCCAGCATCTCTTTCTTCCAAAGTTGTGTTTCCATGAGAACTTGACAGTCACTTTCCCTTCCCCTTGGGGAATGGAAAGGACCTGGGACAGACATCGGGGGAATCAGGTATCCATGCAGCAGCCGACCTAGGGGATACGCTGGTTTTCTTCTGCATGGCGTGGGCTCTGAGAACACCGGACCTGCCGTTTTCTTGCTTACTCTGTAGCAGATGACATGGGTGCCCTTATCTCTTTAGCATGCCAAGCCCCCTCCCAAATCCCACCTCTGCATTCCTTTGCCTGGGGGCTCTTTCTAGGAGATGCCAGCTACCTGTCAAGCTGGAAGTGCTAGGGAATTAACACCCCTACCCAGGGAGCTGTCTTCACCCCATGGCCAATAGGAATTGGTATAGAAAAATCCCAGATCCCTCTCATCACATGGAAAAGCCCTGATTTTTCTGAGATTTCTGAGATCTCTCCACATGGGATGAAGCCCCAGCGGCCCACAGTGGTCACTGGCTTGGTGACATGCCTTTTATTGTTGCCTTGGCTCCCAAATAAACCACATGTATTCATAGTCTCTTCTTGGGTGCTGCTTCTAGGGGAAATATACCAAGACAACCCTTGCATCCCCAGGGCTGAGCACATAGTAGGTGCTTAATAAATATTTCTCAAGAGACCAGAAGCTTACTTCACAGGGCTGTACTGAGGACCAAGTAGCACAAAATGAGCAAAAGTGTGTTGGAAATTTGAGAGCGTGGGACAAGTGGAAGGACGCATCACAGTCCTTTTAGCGGCGTTGTGGAGAAGGGCTGTGCCTGCCTTGCTGGGCCCCCGCCTCGGCAGTGAGTGCCATGGCACCTGTGTTTGTCTCCACAGTTCCTGTGCACCAGCTCATCCAGACTGAATCCCCCTAGGAAGGAACTGTGTCACCTGGAAAACATGTCACAAATACATTAAGGCTTCTGGAGGTTCAATATAAAACAACGGCTATCTTGATTTAATTTGCATTTTAAAAATCCTGTCTTAAACTGTTGGGTTCACGTTTTATGATTTCTTTAACAATTACCCTCTTTACGCTAGGACCATCTATCAATGCTTTTATTTTTTCCCCTCCTAAAAACTAACGTCTGATAATACAGCGTTTTAAATGGAATCATTCTTTACCTCCATTAAAGTTGCCAGACTCTTTTATTGGAGTGGGTGAGCAGCAGCATGAACCATACGCTTTGTGCTCCAGTCGCTCCATACAGCAGTGGCCAGTCCATTGCCAGCCTTCCATGCTAGATGCTCATCTCAGTGTGCAAAGCATGCCTATAGCTTCATTCCCTGTCTCTCTCCAGTGAGACCGGGTTTTCTTTTTCCTTTTTTTTTTTTTTCCAAGATGAAGTCTCCCTCTGTCGCCCAGGCTGGAGTGCAGTGGTGCAATCTTGGCTCACTGCAACCTCCGCCTCCCGGGTTCAAGCAATTCTCCTGCCTCAGCCTCCTGAGTAGCTGGGATTACAGGCACCCGCCACCATGCCTGGCTAATTTTTGTATTTTTAGTAGACACGAGGTTTCACCAGGTTGGCCAGGCTGATCTCGAACTCTTGACCTCAAGTGATCCACCTGCCTTGGCTTCCCAAAGTGCTGGGATTGCAGACAGGAGCCACCGTGCCATGGTGGCTTTTAAAAGACTAGTTTAAAAACACCTTGGTTTCCTTTTAAAGACTAGTGAGTTACTTCTATTAAAGTGCACATTGGTGGTTTTTCCAGTACATTCACTGTTTGGACCCATTTTCCAACCAGGAAGAACAGCTGTTGCCACGGTTCAGGGCCTCAACACCCAGATGTGCCACACCAGCCTAACAGGTGGTTTCCAGGGGTGGGGGTCCTTTTCCTGCAGGCTTCAAATTTCCCATCAGGGTTGGGTCCTGAGGAAGGTCAGCCTCTGCCACGAGCTCACATCTGCAGCCCCTTGGGCCTCTCCCCTCCTCTTGCAGGGTACCTCCCTTCTCTCATCACTGTGTTCCTCTTCCTCCTGATGATCGGCAGCTCTGCGTTCAGTAACTTGTGACAAGGGCTCACAGGTGAGTTTTCCTTTGCAACTGGAAGATGCCAAGTCTGTGTCTTGGAGTAAAACACTGCTGCCAGAGCATCTGACTGCCTCCACCACCATGCCGTGAGCCCACATGCACCCCTCTGCCCTTTTCAACAAGTGGAGGTCAGATGCTTATACCACAGGACTCGAATCCCTGGAATCCTCTTGGATTTTGCAAGACAAGCAGGGTGTCTATACTTTTAGGTACCAGTTTCAGATTTTAAAGGGCTGCCTAAAGAAGATGTGTGCCCCAGCATGTCTGGAATCAGGGACATACAAGACTGGTTCAGTTTCACAGCCTCTGAAGTTTCCTCCAGGAAAGTTTAACACAGATTTGTGTCTTCCTAAAGAGAAACTGGCATCTTGTTACAGACACTGCCGGGTGCCAGAAGGTCCCACATGGCTCTTCTCCCCAAAGTCCTCTTTGCATGAACAGGATGAGCAAGCATTAGATTCAGGCCCAGCAATTGCCATGTAGCCATGGGGGTTCCTTCTCTGCAGGGCCCTTCCTGGGAAGAACTGATGTGTTTGCTCTCTCTCCAGCTTTCTGAAGCTCTCCCAGCTTTTGGTCAGTGGTCTCAAAGCTTTCCTGGAGCCCTGGGGAATGCTGTGGGGGTGCCGGCCCATCCTCCATGATTACATTTGGTACAGCTCCGTTGCTATGACAACCAAAAAGAGGTGGCACTGCAGAGAAGGGGGCAGGGGAGAGGCTGCTGGGCACGGCTTTCTGAAGCTAGTCCCAGGGGGAGAGACCAATGGGTGGCCTGCTCTGTGCGGACATAGAGACCTATCTCTGGAATAGACATATTCTCCCAGATCCTACCTTACTCACCAAGAGCCCTGTCCTTGGAGAGCCCGAGTTTTAGGGTCAAGATGCAGCCTCCTCCCAGGCTTGGTGCTACCCCAGGTGTCCCACTGCAGTTGGCTGATTAAGCACACTGCCATGGTGGCTGAATCGCATGTTTGGCCCTGGCACCCCAGCACAATCAAAGGCACAGGAATATCTCCTCTTCAAGCTGGGCCTTCTGTCCCTCAGCTCCCCAGAGATACTTTTGCTTTTAAGGATGTTTATCCATCAGCCACCTCTGGATTACATTTCCATTAGGACTGTAATCAGCAAAATGGCATTTAGAAGAAAGATGCTTGTTTGCTCCCCAAGGGCAGTCTTGACTTTCAGCACACAGAGCAGAGAAAAATGAAACTGCCAATTTCTCGAGTCGAGGAGATGCCCTCTCCCCAGAAATGCTGGCAAAATTGTGTGTTCTCACTGGGCAGCACGGAGCCACAGATGCTTTGAAGCCTCTGAGAGCCACTTGTATTCACTGGGTATCCTCCTCCCCAGCAAAGATCCCAAGGGCAGTATACCCTCTAAGTTACCCCTTGGGAGAAAGAAAGGGAAGGAACTGTGGAGCTGGCCTGTCATACACAGAAGCCCCCCGAGTCATCCCAAAGGCCTGGTGGCTGCTGCTACACAGCTCAGCACGCTGAAGGTCCATTCCTCTGTCCGCTCTGGGCTGCCTGAGGCTTACTCCTCCAGCCTCATGGAATTATGATTCCCTGTTTGCCTCTCTGCTCTTCCCAGCCCAGCATTGTTCCTGGTCTCTGGAGGCGCAGTGAGCTTCAGGGATGTCTGCCCGGTGCCCACCTGGTTTCTGTGCTTTGTTTTTCCCACTGACTGTGCTGAGCTCACAAGTCAGGTGCCCCTTGGGATCATGAGTGCCAGCAGGAGGAACACACAAAGCTCAGAGACCCTGGAAGGGAACAGACTCAATTGTACCCTCCTGACTCATTCGAAACAGTCATATGCTTCTTTTTAGTTTCTTCTCTCTGGAAAGATTCTCTGGAAAATTCCTGTTCTCCTGACAGTTTATCAATTCTTGGTGCTTCTCTTATTTTTCTCCAAAGGTGACCTGTGGGCCCCAGGGCAACAGGACCACGTGTGAGGTTGGCGCACTGCTGGCGGGCATTGGGCAGCATGTGTACCAGTGGGTGTATGCTGCAAGCATGGTGTCCGTGCTGGTGTTTGGTGACACCAAAGGCTTTACTTTCACCAGGGTCACACTGATGGCATTCTTCTCACTGTATGACATGGTGTTTGATAAGGTATGGCACAAGTGTTGTAGGTGCACCCTGTTACTTAGTCAACAAGGTTTACAGAGCACCTGCTGTGCGCCAGGCACGGTGCTGGGGTCTGGGGACAGCCACATCTCTCACAGATCTTGCAGTCTAGACTGGGAAGGGTGTTCCAAATAGCGAATTACCAACTGAAGGTAGGTTCCAGGGAGCTGTGGGGGTGGATCAGCAGCCCTGAGCCTGGGCCAGGAATGGAGGTGGGGGAGGCTATGCTGTGGCAGAGATGTGCAGGCCAAGAAAGCAACTCCTGTTCCAAAGAGCCCTGAGTGTGACATGGGCCCCAAGAGATCCTTCCAGCTCCCTCTGCATTTCACTACCATGGGCTCAGAGGGCCATGGCTAGAGCATATGGGTGGGGCCCACACTTGGGAGGTAAAGAGACAAAGTGGAACTTAGCTTTTTATTGCATGGGGCACAAAATTCTTTCCTGTGACAAAGGCATCAGCCTCTCCCATCTCAGGCTGCATCCTGGATTTGGAGGGGAGGACTGACCTATAGGGGTTCTCTCGGGACCTCTGCACAGAGACTGACTCTCCCCCACATTCACGGTTATTCATGGTGGCCACAAGAATGGGGTGCATCCTCCCTTTCCCAAGGTCACCTGACACACTGTGTTGTGCCCTGGAAAAAAGGTCGGGCCCTGTGCTCACAATTCCAGCAACAGCAAAGTGGCGGGGTTTACTAAGCATCCACCTGGACTTCAGTTGACTCTCTGTGGTTCTCCACAGATCTTAAAGAGCCTAGTGAGCTTCTTTGACATGACACCTACTGGCGGGGTAATGAACCGTTTTTCCAAGGATATGGACGAGTTGGATGTGAGGCTGCCGTTTCACACAGAGGACTTTCTACAGCAGTTTTCTATGGTGGTGTTTATTCTCATAATGTTGGCTGCCGTGTTACCTAATTTCCTTATAGTTGTGGTGATTTCGTTGCTAGAGGCTTCTTCATTCTCTTATAGTAGTCCTATGTGCTATTTAGAGGAGAAAATAACACACACACACACTATGCACAGTGACTGGGTGTCAGGTGATATTGATATTGAGCATTGAGAGCTTGCTATCTTCACTGATGGTCTATGTTGGAAACACGTTTATAACTTTGGGAAAATCCACACTGAGACAATGGATTACTCAGCAAGACTAGTTCTACTTCCTGCAGGAAGGGTGCAACTCGCTGGCAGTCTTGCCTCGAGAGCACACCTAAACAAGGGAGACAGGGACATTTATAACTTTCATAACCTGACGCAATCATCCTACTGCTGTATTCAGCTTCCATTGGTCAGAATGGGATCTCACATTCTGTGCTTGACCCGATTGGCTAAAAACCTGGAAAGTTTCTAAAGAAGTAAATGCAGAGGAGAACAAAGGAAAAGAGGAAGTAACTTGAGGAATGCTTAGAGCAGCAATACCATTTTCAAATAAGGAAGGGGAATAAGCTTTGACCTAAGACTTGTCTGGGCTTGTCTAGGCATGTCAGAGCAAATATCTAGGTTAAAGTGTAAGAACTAAGAACATGGGATGAACTTATTTCTTTATTATGACTAACAGCCACCTTAAGTTTATTAGCAAAAGCCTTCTTTTTTTTGAGATGGAGTCTCACTCTGTCGCCCAGGCTGGAATGCAATGGAAGCCTTGGCTCACTGCAACCTCCACTGCCCAGGTTCAAGCAATTCTCCTGCCTCAGCCTCCCGAGCAGCTGGGACTACAGGAACCCGCCACCATGCCCTGCTAAGTTTTGTATTTTTAGTTGAGGCAGGGTTTCACCACATTGGCCAGGTTAGTATGGAACTCCCGATGTTATGATCCACCTGTCTTGGCCTCCCAAAGTGCTGGGATTACAGGCATGAACCACTGCACCCGGCCAGCAAAACCTTTAAGTAAATTAACCTTTGAAGAAACTATTATTTATTTGTAATGAACTAAGAGAAAAGTTTGAAGAGGAACATTTGATTTATTCCCATTTTCTATGATTCCTCCCTTTTTCTATTTATAATTCCTCTTCAAACTTATTTAACATGTCTTGACTCAGTTGTTCTGTTTGTTCTTCTAAAAGAAGTAATCTATCTGAACAGGGTGGATGAGGGGTTGGGATATTTTAGTAAGAGTTGTGTCTACTACCCTCTGCGTGAGTCCTTGGATGCATGGTTTGACACAACATCTAACGAGAATAAGTATAATTATTGCTAGAGAGGTAAGAATTAAGGTTATGGTTTCTTTCCATTGACCGAACCACCTTTTGAGACAATTTGGAATAGGGTTATTGATGCCAGAATTTTTAGCTAGCTCATTTGATAAAGCAGTAGGTCCTTGGAGGGCTTTTGTTATGCTCCCATTGGGAGCAGTGTCGTTTGGAATGAAGGTACAACACTAGGTGTTAATAATAACACAAACACCACCTTTCTCTGCTAATATTATGTTTAGGGCTATTCTATTTTCTTAGGCCACTTGGCTAGTGGATCCTAATTGTTCAGCTCTTCCTTTGACAGCATCTTTAGCATAGTTAACAAATCACTGTTGGTTGTAATAAATGTAGTTTATCTAATCTACATTTTTTAAATTAATTGTTACCTACCAGAACAACATTGACTTAAATCTTGCAGCTCTCTGATCTTGGGCTTTAAATTCATTTGGAACTCCTCTTGGGACCCCAGTTGCATCTAAGTACACATGAGAATCAAAAGAACTATAAGGAGCTTCTCCTATTTGCTGATGTTGTAATTTCTCTTTCTCTGGTTGATGAAATGCCAGGGTAAAAGGGATAGCCAATTGGACGATAGTGCAAATGTTGCTCCAATTATTTGGCAGAGTATCCAGTAAAGGTCCTCTACAATACCACCATACATCCATTCAGGGATGAGTAAGGGCGGACTGATGAGCCAGCTCTCAGAAGTGCCTGATTTCACTGCATTCTGTTAAGTTTCCAAGGAACAGCAAGTTCTCCTCTTGTCATGAGAGACATGAGGCGAACTTCATCTTGTGAAATGGAGGCTGTATGGCTCTCAGGGGCTGAACCACAGGGTGCTGAACCTCAGGAAATAGCAGTGGAAGAACTTGGGATAATTAGTTATTCCAGGCATTGGAATCCTGACAAAGAGCTACTATGCATTCCGTGTCCGCTTGATTTGGGGACCATCCAGGTAGAAAGGGGACAACCAGGCCGGGCGCGGTGGCTCAAGCCTGTAATCCCAGCACTTTGGGAGGTCGAGGCGGGTGGATCACGAGGTCAAGAGATCGAGACCATCCTGGTCAACATGGTGAAACCCCGTCTCTACTAAAAATACAAAAAATTAGCTGGGCATGGTGGCACGTGCCTGTAATCCCAGCTACTCAGGAGGCTGAGGCAGGAGAATTGCCTGAACCCAGGAGGCGGAGGTTGCGGTGAGCCGAGATCGCGCCATTGCACTCCAGCCTGGGTAACAAGAGCGAAACTCCGTCCCAAAAAAAAAAAAAAAAAAAAAAAAAAAAAAGAAAGGGGACAACCTGGGCCTCTGGCTTACTGTGCACACAAGCATAACAGTGGCATTTATTTAAGGTGCGAACGGAGTATTTAATCCATTCTAACCAGGCGTTTACGTCTTTATAACCTGTTTCAATGGCTATGGTTTGCCTTAGGTCCTCTACTTCCACCATTGAGACTCTGGTTTTGTCATTGTGTCTAGGAGGAGAGATTGATAAAGAGGTTGAAGGAGCAATAAAGTGCATTTCAAAAATTTCTTTGGATCCTTTCTTGAAATGTCGGCTCCTATACCATAAATACGACTTAATGAAGGAGAAGAGTTTTCAGATGTTGCAATAACAATAGTAGCTGTATAGGATTACATTGGTTATATTGACAGCTAGAAGGAGTAATTCCTTTGACGAAGTGGATATGTAGTTTTAAGGATGGACAAAGACCTGTGGAAGCAGTCTATCTTAACCCTTTATTGTTCCATATGACATTAGGCTAAGCAGAACATAGAGATTCTGTTTTTGAGGGACAAGAGTCTGATTCATACCAATCACAAACACAGCTACTATTCCTTGGATTACTAGTATCCTTAGAGGAACGCATTGTATCTTCCTAATATGAGGAAGTCTGAGGGACAGAGACATCGTTCCGAAGCAGCAAACTGTCCTTGGTTATGAAAATCTCCACGACGCACAACTAAACAGACATCAAAGCAACAACATGAGGTGAGCCAGAGCTAATCACATTAATTACAAGATGGGGAGGTTAAAGGAGGAAAAGAAAAAGAAAGGAAAGATAGATAGACTACGCTTTTCTTAGCTTTAACTTGGTATGGTCTGATCCCAGAACAATAGCCCATGGTTCTAATGGTGATGGCACTTTCGTGACTCGGGTGTGATGTGTCTATCTCTTTTCTGTTGTGCGAACGGCAGTCTTGGTGGCTAGCAGCACGAGGTAGGGTGGTCTCCAGGCTGGTACTGGTGTACTGGAAATTCTTGGAGTGGTGCCTGTGCTAAGACTTTCTATAATCTTTGTTAAAGAGCAGGTTATTGATTTAAGAAAAACCTGTTGTGCTTTTATTTTAATGTCCAGTTTACAGAAAATCTGGATAATACCTCTTTAACTTTAGCTGATATGTTTACACACCGAATTTCCTTTATGATTAAGATTTCAAAATGTGCTTAAACTTTCAAAACAAAAATTATACAACACTTCTTGCATAAATTCCTTTTTATAACATATTTCACAACTATCACAGACAATCATACAATCTTAACTTTCTAACTTTGTTTTATAACTTTCCTTATTAAAGGTGTATTCTTTTATGAGACAGAGTTTCCCTCTTGTTACCCAGGTTGGAGTGTGATGGTGCGATCTCGGCTGACTGCAACGTCCACCTCCCAGGCTCAAGCAGTTCTCCTGCCTCAGCTTTCCTAGTAGCTGGGATTACAGGCATGAACCACCTCCACACCCAGCTAATTTTTGTATTTTTAGTAGAGATGGGGTTTCATCATGTTGGCCAGGCTGGTCTCGAATTCCTGACCTCAGGTAGTCCACCTGCCTTGGCCTCCCAAAGTGCTGGGATCATAGGCATGAGCCACCATGCCTGGTGTAAGCTGCATTCTTATATTTATAACTTTCTTAATATTTCTTTCTCTTCTTCCTAATTTCTGTCCTTTGTGTCTCCTTCTCTCTTTGCCTCCTTGTCTCTCTCTCTGTCTCTCTGCCTTTCTCTCTTTCTCTCTGACTCCTCTTTGACTTTGTCTGTCTCTTTCTCTTACTATCTCTCTCTCTTACTCTCTCTCTATCTCTTGGACTCTCTGTCTCTCTGTCTCTTGCTTTCCAAGTCTACTGTTTCTTCCCTTGAAAAGAGAATATTTAGAATGGACATTAACTCTAAGTATGTAACTGGGGACCTAAAAAATGATCAAACTGTTCTGCTACCCAATCTGGATCATCTAATAATAGCTTAAGTTCTCTCTCTAGACCCCGGACCTTAGAAGCAGTTAAGGGAGCATTCACAATACCAACCACACCTCCTCCTTGAGGCTTCACAAAACTAACTGTGCCTCCTCCTTTAGACATCTTCTTTAGAGAAAAAGAAAAAAGCTTTGAAACTGCAGCCGATTCCTTGGAAAAAGAGGGAAAAGGAAAACTCTGAATATCTCTTTTGCATTGCGCTATCTCCTCCCAGAGCCCTTTCTTCCAGGAAGAACACGCAGGCTGACAATGATCAGGCCTTTGACATGCTAGCTCCCAAGAACCTGGTTCTATGGGGGAGTAGGAAATTCTGGGTTGGGTTCTGAGGCAGCAGCCTGCTCAGGGAGGA